AATTGATTCTCAAATACTTAAATTTACCATTTCTTGAATACAATTTACTACTCTCAAATTCATTTGATGCCTTCTCAAATACAAATCACTATTCTGAACTACATTTGTTGTTTTCTCAAATACATTTGACTATTCTCAAATACAATTGATACTTTCTCAAATTAACTTGATAGTTTCTCGAATAAAAGTGGAAAAGGTGTAGAAAAACGTATTTAAAGTAACTGAGATATCACCAAAAAACTGAAAATGTTAAATTTTGTTTTCATTTTCCCTAGCTTAAACAGTCAGAAATGGACGGTTCCCGTTAGCTCCTTCTATTGATATATCTACAGAATACAATCTTTTATCATTGATTTGATATAAGATTTATCAGGTTTTTAACCATTTATGTAGGTACCTGGGTACAAATTTATAAACATTATTATTTTCCCGAAAAGTAAACGAGATATGTTGGTAGCACTTATGAGTAAAATAATCAAAAATATGTTGCACATTCCAAAAATCTAATAAAAAGTAAGGTATTCCATTTAAAATGATTAAGTTACATAGTACCACGTGACGCAATTAAAAAACTTTTTATCACAAAATATATGACCCAGCTTACATTTATAACAAAGTTTTAACAATTTTTAAATCTGCATTTGTTCCCCCAATTCCTCACTGAACACCCTGTAGGTATATCTTAGAAATGTAAAAATGTGTATTATAACTTATTATATTAATAAAAAATAACATAAGTACAAATACCTTCGTTTTTTCTATAATTTACGCCGTCGCTGGTAAGTAAGTAATCTGGAGCTGTAGTACATGATCATTGCAGACTGCCTGACGTCACCTGCGCGACCCGAAACGTTCTTCCCCGTGGCAGCTGTAGTAGCTTGTAGCTTCCGCATCTAATGTGCTGTGGAAATTCTAACAAATTCAGATTCTTAAAAAAATTGACCTTTTCAGTTTTTTGGTGATATCTCAGTTATTTACAAAGGTTTATCAAAAATTTCAAATGCATTTTTTTAGTCACAAAAAGGGACAACTTTGCCACCATTTAACCCACACCCACACAGAGATTCCAATGGTTAGCCACTCATTTGAACTACCCTGTACGGTGAGCACATCACATATAAAACATATACTGTATTTCATGAAATAAATAAATACTAGTGCCTTTTTCGAGTCTTAAAGCTATCACTAGACTCAACAAGGAAAAGATCTTCCAATATTTGGGAATAGAACTGCTTAAAATTTGGGCTTAGACAATATATTTATAACATAAAGAACGTGGTGGTTATCGCCAGTGTTAGAAAAATATTCCGTTTCTTTGGGCTGGTTGTACAAGTACCTTGGTTCAGTTGACTTACTGAATGAAGAAACTTGGTTAGTTAAAATTAAAGTACCCAATCTATAGTCTGTCTCACCTTGACTTTACAGTACAGGTTCTTATCGTGAACAAAGATGCCAAATGTCATCAAAATATGATTTGAAGAAAATGGGCGTATCTTTTGGATAAAATCGGCATCGCCGCGCTAAAACCTCGTATAAAGAAAAACTGACGTGGAAAAAGATGTTAGTAAAGCAGAACATCCCTCTAGAAGGCTTTTGAAATAGAAATTTAATTATCCTAATGGGTCTAAAATGATACTTGTACATCAGGAAGTTTATTATGCCAGAAAAAGAAAACATTTCAAAATCACTCTGCTACATTCAAAAAGCAATACAAACCTAATCGATCAAGCAAACCTCGTTGGACACTTTTACCACAATGTACAGTTTTATGCGCATACTGTTACCATAACAAAAAGGTTGTCTGTAATAAGTTCATTCACTTGTGAGGTTGTTTTCTTTAAATCAAGATTTCAAAGCGTGTGTTACCTATGCTGTGGTTCAAGAATATGACATGTGAAAATGACCAATAGACAAAACGACGCATTTTTTAAAATTTAATGAGAATGTGCTACCCGTGATTAATAACTTGTAAAACCATCAAATCGTTTACCTGCTATCATATTACGTATATAAATTATAACAAATATTGTTACAGGAAAAGATATTACGATCAACAATTCAAAACTGCCAAGAAGAAGAAATTCCCGAAAAGGTCTTACCATTCCAAAATTTGGAATATTTAACGATTTCTTGCGCTACAATAAATGTGGTAAATAAAAACGCATTTGCCAACTTACAACTGTTACGCGAGCTCAATTTAGCAAACAACGCAATTTCGGACTTTCCAAACGATATCTTTGAATCGCAACAGGAATTACAGAAACTAAATTTATCCGAAAACAATTTTGTCACGATACAACAAAACCTATTTAAAGGACTACGACAATTAACATCTCTTTCACTCTCTCATAATAAGTTATCTGATTTCGATATGAATTCCCTTCGAGAAATTACACAAATTAAAGAATTATTTCTTCATAATAACGAAATTAGTTTTCTTCCACTAAAAATGTTCCATGCATTAAAACAGCTTGTTAGGCTTCATCTCTCGCATAACAAAATTGAAACAGTCGAAGGGATATTTATGTGGATGTACGAACTGAAATATTTAAATTTATCTCACAACGTTATTAAGAGTGCACTATCTCAGAATCTTCACAACACCCAGTTGGAAATACTTGATCTGTCATTTAACGAATTAACCGTTATTTACGAGGATTCCTTTCCGCTTCAAACTCTTGAGGAATTACACTTGCAGAATAACAAAATTCATATCATCGAGATAAAGGGAGTCGACCATTTTCCATTAAAGGAATTAGATGTACGAAACAATAGACTGGTTTTCTTAGAAGATGAGTTCATTACAAAAGCAACTTCTCTAGAAACGTTACAGGTTGAAAACAATCCATGGGACTGCAAGTGTTTCGAACGTATGGCACTGTTACGCGGTAACTTTTCTTTGGACTTAAGTCAACCATATCGAGATGGAGAAGAACCAATATGTGTAACTGAGAGCGCCGACACATGTAATCTACATAGAGACAAGCTAAATAGGTACTATGAAATTCTCGCAAGATATTGGACGTTACGTTGAAGATTTTCTGTATGAAATTTGAACATGAAATGTTTGTGCATCAATAAATTAATTTAAATTGAGTTGAATAAATCATATTTGTTCAAACATACTCTCCTACACAATATAGTGCAAATAGAGCAAAATAAACACTTTATGGGATCTGATTAAGAAATATTGTAGTACTATAGTTAAGCTAAGATCTTTACGCAAAATTAATTAGTATACTTAGATGTTTTTATTTTAAAATTCTTAAATTAAAAATTATAATTTATACATACGAATTTTTGCAATTAAAACAAATTGTAGAAAAAATATTCTTTTATTAAGTGCCCACAGTTCTAGTTCGGTTCAAGATACCAAAAAGCTTCAGTACCATACATATACCTATGTATATTTCCCTCATAATGTCAACAATTAAAAGAGAATATTAGCTCTCCAACTTCCCTTTCATACTAGGAGGCGGTGACATACTCAATCCCAATTCCCCAGACTCCAACTGCTTTAATAGCCGAAATAGCGCAGCCGCTTCACGTATTCTACTAAATTCAATACAAAACGCCTGAACTTCAATGAACAACTCCTGCAAAAAGTTTCCATTGAATAATAGTCGAAAAACGTTCAAGACTCACCTGAACATTAATAATTTTATTTCGTATCAACGACTGCAAAAAAACACAAACTAATCTTACCAGCCTGTTCTGCATATAACGATCTTTGATTGTTTCGCATGTCGATATACAATTTGAGATGTATAGGTGTACGAATTCGGTTGGTAAATCGACAGTTGTTGTAAGTCTGTTTACTACTTCCATAGAGTGCAAGGACATCTCCATGTTAACCAGCACACTAAAGTATTCTGTGATTTGTTTTGACTGCATTAACTTTAGTAACACTTCTATTGCTATCAATGGATTGTTTTCGACCAATTCTGGAAGCTGAAATTATTAGTTTTCAATTGGGATAGTCAGTTCGAGCCCTGGCATGATATAAATTGTTGATTTCTATTGTTATTATGAAGCATTGTGTAAATAAATGTAAATCTGTTAAACATTCATTTTAAATGTTAAAATACACAATGGCAAATTCAACTGAAGTAGAAGAATTTATTTGTGGCAAAAACATTGGAAAACACTTTGAATTGTTGTATATCGACGTACGCACCTTGGAAGGAGTTAAACCAATGTGGTAAACCAGCTTGGAATCATTATCCAGTTCATTCAGTAGTTGTTGCTGTTGCTGCAGTGACAGAGCTGCCTTATACGCTTTCGTCATTAACTGTCTCGCTTCTTGACCCGCCATATTTGGTACACACATTGTAATGTCATAAGCTACCGTATGTTCCTTAGGCGATGTTACATTGAACCACACAGGCTGTAATTAAAACAATGTCATGTTTTCTGCGCCAAACTGGTACAATTGTTGTTCAACTCATTCCAAAAATGCTACAAATTCTTTTTTTTCCATAATCATTCAAAACGCGCCGACGGGTGGTGGAGATCAGAGTAGGAAACGCGGTAACAACACGTCTTTAAATTTGTCTACAATTTTTAAAAACCGTTTGTTGTATCAGACTAATTCTTTTTAGCGCATTTTTCTAAGAATTAAAAAAAATGTGTTGTTGTTTGCATTTTGTTGGTCTGTCTGTCCGACGCACTTCCGCGGTTTTGAACTACTTTTAAGGGAATGGTCCTAAACCCTGGAATTTTTTGCAACAGGTAGCCTATACATTGAAGGTGTGCCAGACGGGCATCAAATTTTGTCTTAAGGGAGGGAAAAAAATTTTAAAAAATTCTCATTGATACTTTTTGAGCTCTATACAAGACACAGTTGTGAGATTTTCAACACATTTCACTTCGGAGGAATCATAATCAGGCCCGTTCTGGGGGGACGGAGGCCAGGTAGTGCCGAGGGCGCAGGTCTGTAAATAAAATTACCAGGTGTAAGGGGGAAGTCCTAGCACAATGGCAATGACCAACAAACTTTTGGAAAATTATTCCCTCAATGGGGTCATCCCGCCTTCATTTTTTATTTCTGATCCACAAAGTACATTAAAAATAAAAAGACCCGTGTCTCCTCAATTTTTATTTGCGAGTAAAATAAACCCAAAATAAATTATTGAAAAGATGTGTTTTTAGTCCGAATTTGAAACGCTTCAGACTAAATACGTCACAAACCTACAACCAATCACGTAGAAGTAGAAGTGGGTCTGACGTTTGTCACATTTGACGTTTTGAGAGGGATGTTTAACTGCATCTAGCACGAAAGTGACAAGTGCCTGTGACAGATGACGCAATATTGGGTGCGTTCACCAGAACCAACTGTTTGCAAACCGTTTGCGCTTTTTATATAAGCATATTTACTGAACGCATTGCTAATTGTCAAACTGTTTGCAAGCGGTCGCCATTTTTTTAATCATAACTCGCTGAAAATCACAAACATGTTGATCGGGCATGCGCATTTGTTCTAAGCGCGCAATTTGCCTGGAAACCACACGTCAAATTTAATTTGAGTGAATTTTGAGAAAACCGTTTTGTATTCTTTTTGTACATTTCAATAAAAATATGGCAACCTTTCTACAGTTTAAATACATCCTGCTATACGAGATGAATTGAATTGTCCTATAGAAAATCAAGATTGGAGTATTAAATGCATATTCACTGGATCCTTGAGTAAATATTTTTTATCCATAAATTGTACCTGCTTTATGAGAAGTTTTTATTTTCAGATTGTTACATTTAATAAATTTAATAAACTCGCCACATAAGTATAGTCATTTTAAGGAGAGTTAAGATTTGTATAGGTGAAAAACGTATAGTTATAGCAAAGAGTAACCATTCTTTGGTTATAGCAATTATGGTTACTCTTTGGTTATAGCACAGATATACGACGTATAATCTGTGGTTATAGTGTTGCAAGGGAGGGTTTGATGGCCAGCAATCTACTAGGAGACGAGCAAATCGTTCGTGCCGTTTTGGAGCCTTCATAAACCGCATATGAAGGGGTCAGTACAAGTCCAAATGAAATCGAGAGCACTCAGCCAGTATCAGTTATAGGTTATAGATACTTGTGTTAATTATTAGTATACGAATAATGTACCCTAATTAGATTCGAAGAGAAGTTTGGTGTGGAACGATTTCACACAGTTATTCACAAAGTTATTACTCGCCGAGTATTTCAAATTTGACATTCGTCAAAGGGAGGCTGAAGTAATACTATTAAAATATCTTCTTTTCTTGTCTGGGAACTTTGTCGTGGGCAGTGTACGTTCGCAGTTTCTTGCGTTTTTACGGATTAACAGGACCCTTTATTGATAGGAAAAAGCTCTATCAAATGACACAAAAAGTAAAAATGACTTCCATAAGAAAAAACAAAGCTGATGATGGTTAAACGGAGACGAAACGTCAGACTAAAAATTTAAAACTAGCATCTTGTATATGGAAAAAAAGTGGGCACAATTATGGGCCGTTTATTTTGAAATATCTTTTTAAATAACTTAGGTAACAAATAAAAACGATTTTGTAAAATGTCATTTTTTTTCTGGATATCTCCGAAAGTAGTCGGAATTTTTTCAGTTTCAAAACGACATTTTGTTAAGTATCAAACTACTCAACTTTGCCAACCTCTATTTCTTACAGTTCCCGAGATCCCCATGGTGGCCCTCGAATTTGAATAAGCCTGCATACATGGAATGCTCCCTTCTTCATTCATAATTAAATTATTCGATTTATCTCTTACAACTTTAAAGCGCATTGTGTGCAATATGCAATTATCCAATTTTTGGTCGTGATGTACGTACGTACTAGTAATTTACTCCAATTTCGCGCATAAACCTATATGCCGATGGTTTAAACAAATATGCATGCCTTACAAAATTACAAACATGTTTGTGATTTTCAGCGAGTTTAAATTGCGATTCAAAAAATGGCGTCCGCTTGCAAACAGTTTAACAACTAGCAACGCGTTCAGTAAACGTACTTATCTAAAAAGCGCAAACGGTTTGCAAACAGTTGGTTCTGGCAAACGCACCCTATCGTTCACCTGCGCCTAAACAGTTTGTGTTTGCAAACGTAATCAAAGCGCAAACACGTTTGGTTCTGGTGAACGCACCCATTGCCAAGTCGTTATGTCATCTGAATGGTTCTAGGAGCTGATTGGTCGGGCGTATTACGTCACAGAGCCCGCCACAATCATATCGTTTTGAATAAACCTTTAAAACCGCACATGTTCATTATTTTTTGCTAATCAGCCTCTATTTTTAAATAAACTTTTACTGTCCAAAAAAATGTTTTATGGTTTCAGGTACACGCTTATTAAATTAGAACTGCGGAATTCAACTATACTGTAAACCCCCATTCAATTAAATTTAAAAAAATACACTTTCTTCTTATATTTAGTCTCAAACGGCAGAAATTCCGTATTCACCCCCATCAAAAACCAAATTTGAATAATGGAGGAACAGTATCGTATTTTGTATTTGGAATTACTAAAAAACGGTGGTGGCACCAAGGAAGGTATTTGAAAGATGAGGAGGGGGTAGTATGTATATGGAATTTTTTTGGTATTTGGAATAACTGAAAACGATGGTGACGCAAACAAACGTATTCGGGGCACAAACCAACCCCAAACGATCACGGGATAAAAACGTCAAATTTGAAAAATGGTGGGGACAGTATGGAATTTTGTGTTTGGAATAATTTAAAAAACGGTTAGGGTGCAAATGAAGTAATTCGGGACCCAATTAAAGCATAAATGATCACAGGAAAATGTCAAACGATGGTATGCGGGTAGCAAACAAAGCTCAAACGATCACAGGGAAAAAACGTCAAATTTGAAAAAAAAAATTGTGCATTGTGTAAGGCCTTCTCATCGCGAAAGAATGCCGGTCACAAAACACCTGAGAACGGTCCACAATTGGTTGGTTAAATAAGAAAAACATATGATTGTAGACCGGAATCAGGTGTTCTGTGCTCGGCATCTTTCCTGGTGAGCATGATAATTAATTTAATTCAATAACATCTTAATAGTTTTAGGTCTCTTATAAACAATACATACTAATGCATTCCTAACGCATATCCCCTAATCTCATCGAATTACTGGGACTCCGCTGTAACTGAAAAACGAGAGGGATGCAAATGAAGGTATTGGTGGCGCAAACCAAGCGTAATTGATCGTTTTGTAAAAAAAAATTATTTGCAAATTGGGGGCAGTTATAAATTTGCCCCCACCCCTCACGAAAACTTTTAATAAATGGCTACCATGAGAAATCCTGTATAATTACTATTACTAATCGGTGAGACTAGAACCATCTAGTATATTTTGTGCACTTTTTTGTTTTGTTTCATCTAACACAATTACCAGGCCAGTCTTTTTGAATTTATTAGGTACTTATTTTCCCAAACACTACCACAAGTGGACTATAGACATCTACAGTGGATTTTCTATACTGTATAAATACGACCATACAAGCATCTACGTTACTGAAGATCCTAAAATAGTAGTAGATGGTTAACATAATTGACCAATTTAGGTTGTGTCACTTAAGAAATTAGTAGAAAAATATCTTGTTGGAGTTCATTTTGAATAGTTTTACACCTAAACCTCATTAAGGACATTTAATATTGCGCATGCGCAAAATAATTTTTTTAATGCGGCGTTAGTTTTATTTCTAATAGAGGTGTGTACATATATTTCATTTAAATATCTTAACAAATAAAAAATTTGAGATTGGCCACACGTAAAACAATTTTTTGATTCTGCATTAGTTTTACTTTTATTTGTTTTACCTACAGACAAATTTACATTTAAATATCGTAGCTAATAAAAAAAAATTGGGATTGCGTAAATAGAAAAGTTGGGTTGCGCATGCGCAATTTTTTTTATTCATCTGCATAGTTGCCTAAAAATATTTACTAACACAGAAAACCGATCATTCATATGTTCTTTGTACCAAGAATTATAAAAGAAGCCCTTTTTTGAAGGTTTGGGCAGTTTTTGGGCTGTAACTTTTTGGCCCCTGAATCTACGTAGCCGAAAAACAATAGCGACCTTTCTTATATCCTAAAGAACATGTGTATACATTTTCAAAGCGATCGGACGTTTCTACACAAAGTTATCATGCATACGGACAGACAGACGAACAGATATACAAAATTATAAACGATCTCGAGGAAAAGGAAAAGAGTACATTTTAATCAGAACTAGGCTGTCATTTGAAGACTTAGTACCAAACCTGATGTCATTATACTGATTAATCATGTAACATTTACCTCATCCTTACTGTTTAGCAATGGAGGTGCCAAAGTGACAAACTCTGGTTTATACACCCTATACAGATTATCAGAAGTCAATATCTGCTGTACAAACTCTTCTTTTTTATCAGGTTCATTTGCATAACTAAAACAAAATGTGAGGTAAAGCATATTAAAATAGACAAATTATCCACAACTAGAGAGTACCACTGTTATCAATAGCAACTAGAAAGAAAGTCATAATTACCTATTAGTGACCTTTTCAGGATAAGCAATAACAGCTGGAATTCCAGATCGACATATGTGAGATAGCTCCGACTGCTTTTCGGCCAGTGCCAATTGAATGGCTGATAAATCAATATTTGCCGGGCCCACAATATCCGAATTAATAATTTGTGTTGCAGTTTTCTTTAAAATCTGAAACAAACAACAGCGTAATGATTGCAGGTAAGACTCCACCTACCGCGTCTTTTGGAACATCCGATATTAGTTGAGCTATGAAATTCTTTTCTGGCGCTGAAAATTTCGGCAACTGACCTGGATACTCTAACTTCGGAGTCCCAACGGTACTTTGTTGCTCTGGTGGATGCTAAAATGAATTTGTTAGTTGCAAGTGTCACTGCGTGAATAGGACCCACCAAAATGTGGATGAAAACCTTAGCAAACGGAGTATTTTCTATGGATTCTCCACGATACAGTTCATGTAACAAAGTAACGGCAACAAGCCTTTGTTCGGGTTCCTCTAACAAGTCCTGTTGTAATAACATAATCAAACAAGAGCCCACTACGATGCAACTGTTAAAAAGTCAACTGAAATATTAAACATACCTTTAAAATAGTCGGTGCTTTCGAATTTTTTATGTAAATCATTAGCCAGTGCCTCTAATGTTTGTGTTTTAACATTATTCTCACCAAGTAAGCTGAATCGAAACTGTCATTACAGATTTTGTACTCGATGGCACTTTCTACTTACTTTAATAAGGTATCACATTGTGTTATACTTAAAGCCATTTTATTATAAATTTAATAAACCTATAAATAATTAATAATAAATTAATATTTGCATTGTTGTTTGGTGTAAGTGCAGGGTAAGGTTACAAAACATCGACTCTGATCAGTGGCTACATAACTGTCAAAGTGTGTCTACTGTATCACAAAGAAATAAAAAATGAATTGCTGCCGAATCGCCTTTGGAAATACAAGTTACGATTTACCATGTAAACAAAAATTCCAAAGTTGACTCGACAGCAACTCATTTTTGATCGCATATCTTTGTATTTGTGTTATATGTATCAATATTCAATACATTTTTTAGATATACGGCGTGTTCCATAACAAACACTTATTTTGTTTTGTGTTACGTACCTAGTAGTAGCATCCTTTATTCATTGGTAGTAGGCAGTTAGTGTGGTTTCTATGGCCATAGTGGGTGCGAGCAATGCACCACGCCACCACAACTCGCTTAAAATGAATAAGATTTGATTTTGGAGGGAGATATCTCGATCGTAGGAGTTTTTCAACCAATTTGTTCTGAAAAGATGGGAGATATTGATTATCCTTACACTGTTACACGAACAGTGACGAACCCTTTTATACTTTGTGTTTAGCAATTACACTGGAGCCAAATTCACTTAATTCAGTGTTCCGCGGAAGGTACACTCAACACCTCTACATACGACGCTGCACCCTACATTACATGGACAAAGCTATCCCAAAAATCCTGTTTGGTGAATCGTGATTTTTAAGCACCCTGTATGGCAGTGTAATTTCGCGCCATCGTGTTGTGTGTTGTTGTTTTTGTGTGTTCACTGATTTTTTAATGACTCATTTTAATTTCTCTTCAAGTATTAATACCGATACAGTAATAAAAGATGATATCTCTTGAAATATATAAACTGGACTGTGAAGACAGTGCGATATGTACCTTAAATGTTGGAGAACACATTTTTGGCCGAGGGACTCTGCTCGAGGTTCTTTCATTTCAATTTCTGCTCATAATCTAATTACTTTTTTCATAGTGCGATGATAAAAGAGTTTCAAGGAACCATGGCCTTATAACAATAACCAATGAGAAAGCATCAATAACATCTGTAATTTGCACATTTAGCTTCACCACTGATGGCCACTAATCATAATTTTTAGACTCACCAAAACCCATGCTTTTATATTTACACGAACAGTCCAACAGTAACAATCTTGCCCAGGGATTCTCCTGTTAATATTACGGATGGTGATAAATTTGCACTTCTAGCAGACCAATTTTGGTACAAACTGAAAATAAACGTGAACAACAATAATGAACTCCCTGCTACTAATGCTATGGTACCTGAAGGCGAGCCTGAAAGTAATAATATTGAAGGTTGGTATTTGTCTCATTACTTCATCTGTTTCATTGATGCTTTGAACAGAGACCCATACACCTTATGAATACAATGGCAAAGATGACTCCTTAAAACGTCCCCATCAGGATGAGCCAAATAGTGAGAATAAAAAGATGAGAACTTTAAATGCAAGTGAATTACCTCAATCAACTGTTGATGAACCATCACCCAGTCGAATAGATGCACAAGAAATTTCTGAATTGAATACCGAAGAACAGTCTGATAACATAGACACAAAACAGCCGAATGAGTCGGACAAAGGCTCTGAGACAGTAGCAGATAGTGCTCAAAATACAACAATGCCCGTGGCAACTACCAGCACCAGCTCGAATAAAAGGCCCTGGAGAGATTATTGCGTATATGGAAAACAATGCTACAGGTAACCCATTCCTCCAGCAACAGTTTGATCAATTTTTATATTTCAGGAAAAGTGCGGCACATTTTAATGAATTCAGCCATCCTGGTGACTCTGATTATGAGTCGGATCCTAACGATCAGCGACCGACATGTAGTTTTGGCTCTGATTGCTATAGAAAAAACAAAGACCATCGTAAAGCGTACAAACATCCTAGGGGCATGACAGGTGTAAAGAACCCTGCAGGAGCACGTAAGAGATTTCATACTTGTAATTGTGCCTATTGCCACATAAATTCATCAAAAAAACGTGATTATGAAAGTGACCATGAGGATACGTAGCAATGAAGTGAAATGTTTTTATGTTGCTTGTGATAATTGTTTTAAATTGTCTATTTATAAGATGTTTTAATGAAAAGCAATCACTGTTTTAATTTTTCACCTGAAGACTTCATGTCCTATTTGATTTATGTAGGGTCTTATAATACACATGACTACTTTGATGTAGTGATGTCCAAAATTTAAGTATTCATTACTCATTAAACAGTTATTATCATGCTTTAAGGAAAACCAGAAAATTCCAATTACTTCCGAAGATATGCCAGAAAAACCGAAATTTGCCTATTTCATTTTTATTTTTTTCTGATGTTATTTGAACAGATACAAAAAAAAATAAACACTTTCTCATTGCCACTATTTGAGCTCTACAAGACAGCATTGAGAGATTTTCAATACAACGTTTTATTTCAGAGAAATCATCAACTTTATTTTTTCATATGATCCCTAAAAAAAGTACATACTGTATTGAGCAGCATTTTTTATTATACCAAAAATACATAAGTTGGAAACATTTGGTTTCAACAGGAGGTTGCACCCAGTGCCTTAGACCCGGTTGTACAATGTCTGGTTAAACTTCAGTTTGGTTTAACTATAAACTGAAGCTTAAACTGACATTATACAACCGGGCCTTAATCGTGCGACAATAGCTATTGGATATATTTTGAATTTTCCAGAAAATTTGTCTGATAGGTGTTTTTGCACAATCAGAGCGTTGTGCGTGAGTGCGCCATTCGTTTTTTTTTGTGTGATGTAATGAAAAATGCTACTCAATACAGTATGTACTTGTTTACAGGCCATATGAAAAACTCTCGGAAAAACTGTAGTTGATGACTTCTCCAAAACGAAATGTATTGAAGGTCTCTCAATGCTGTTTTGGAGAGGCCAAATAGTGGCAATGAGAAAATGTTTTTATTTTTTGTGTCTGTTCAAGAAACATCACCAAAAAATAAAAATGAAGTCGGCAAATTTCAGTTTTCCTGGCATATCTTCGGAAATAATTGGAATTTTCTGGTTTTCTTTAGAGCATGGTAATTACTTGTTAATTGCGCAAATTTTTCTTAATTTGACCATCCTCGTACCTTCTATGGTTTCCGAGATTCCCATAATAGATATCCTCATTAGGGCGGCTTGAAAAAAACCAAACGTGTAATACCTTTTTGCGATAGTGCGGAAAAGTTGTGAACCTCCATTATTAAAACGTGTGCAGATTTCATAACTCTGAATTTATATCTTCTGTCACCTCAATGTACCCAAAGTTGTCAAATTTTGACTAAAAATGTTTAAAAATTGGCGCCTTTTTAATACCTACCTAGTACCTGCACTGCACGAAAGATGTCTCTGCGAGTCGTAGCCTTCTTTACAGTGGACGGTTCTGACAATGCCCTTATGAAGAATCAGTGCTAACATTCCGCTCCGTAAGTGTTGAATGTATCCAAAGGGCCTCTTGGTAAATGAAAATAAGCTTACTTTTTATGTTATTTTAAACTGTTACTAGAGTTAATTTATTTATTTTTGGTATGTACATTATTATAAACTTTCAAAAATATAAAAAGCGTTTACTTACTATATTTTTTGTAATATTTTTTTATAGTAATAATAATAATTAATATATAAAATTAGAATTATTATTCAGAAAAGAAAGAGATTTATTCCGAAACATTCAAATGGAGGGCGAAGTTCAGTACCGCATCATTGCCGAAGTCTGCTCTTCAAATTAACCCTGTAGGGTCATATAACCCTCGTGTCCCAAAAAATATAGCGACTTCTGTAGGATTAAGTGCGGTAATGAAACTTTTGTTTTGAACAAACACAAGTCTCATTATTATTCATGCTTAACATATCTAGCTGTGCAGTACTGCACGAATTTTCCCGGGAAACATCGGACTACAAAAGTGTGAGAAAAAAATCCATTACCTAAATACCTACAAGCACAGTTTAGACTGCCTACTACTCCAGCTATTGCAGTTAAGATAGAAATTTCAATTTATGTAGCAATCGCAATTTTAATGTTTCGCATCATTTGTGTATTTTGTTATGGCACTATTTATACAATTATTATTATTAAACAACCCTTTGTTGTGTATTTACCTCATTTTAATACAATTTTTGAACGCATAAACTTGTATTATTACTTCATCCGCTTTCCTAAGACGTTCTCAAGCAAGGATTTTTCTTCTATTAGCAAGATTGATAACAGTTGTGTAATAGTGTCGTAACAGTGAAACTGAAAGAAAATACTAACACTGCAAAATTCATTGCTAGGCCCAACAAAAAGGAACACTAAAAAAACCTATGTAGATGAGTCAAGTGAAGATGACTATGACATGGATGATCCCTTCATGGCGGCAGACAGTAGTGATGAATACGAATGTGATGGTGAGTCGAATGAGTCAGATTCAGAGTCAAGTGAGGACGCAGGGGATGAAGAGTTTAAACGCATGTTCAAGGAGGCGAAGAGATTTACACGACCACAGAAAAAGGATTAAACTTGTTTTTGTAACTGAGCATTTTTTGTACCTATATAAACTGTTAATTAAAGCATGTTGCTGTTGAAAGTAATTCATTTGACATTTGAGCTTTTATTACAAATTCTGTCATGGCAGAACTGACAGCGAAACAAATCTTAGAACCATTAGAATGGTTAATAGGAAAATGGAAATCGATCACTGCAAAAGGGCATTATCCGACTATCCCATCTTTTAATTATCGCGAAGAAATGGAATTTCAATTCAATTCATTTCAGCCGATTTTAAATTATTCTGCCAAAACTTGGAATGCTCTTGACGGCAAACCCATGCATTATGAAAGGGGTTTCCTTCGAATAAATCCAGCTACGTGCAATGCCGCCTTTATGGTCAGTCACAACCGGGGGTTAGTGTCTTTAGAGGTGGGCACTGTGGGTAGTAACCGTTTACAGTTGAGCAGTGTGTGTGTAGCATCAATGCCATTTGTGAAGCAACCAAATGCTGTGGGAATATCTCGATCGTATGTATTGTGTCCAGAAACAGAGAAATTGAAAGTCGTTGTGTGTTTGGCAACTACTAACACACCGCTTACTGAACATTTGAATGTGGAGTATCAAAGGGACCCTACCGAACTTTCAGACAAAAAATGTGTATAACAACATAAAATATATTTTATAAGCATGTATTGCAATGGCGTACTTCTATGTAATTTTTAAGAAAAGAAATATGTTGTAATTGTACAATAAAGAGCTCGTAAAGAGCATGTAGTGATCATTTTTTATTGAGCTTCCAACAAAATATGTACACCCAAACGTGACATGCGTTTAGTAGAACATTATAAACAACTTTATTATTGTCTTAATACTATCTATAACTACAGTAGTAAAGTTCCTAAATATTACAACTTCTCATATTCAACCACCAAGTGCTGGTGTAACTCTGTATTAGAGGTGGCCATTAAAACAGTAATATGCAACTTTTTATCATTTGGACTATAAACAAAAGAGCGTGCAATTTCTGTTACAGCAGGATCTTTGGCAAAGCTCATGCGACCGATATGTGTACTTTTGAGGTTCAAGTTGTTGTCGACTACAGTTCCTTCTTCGAGTGATACTAGACCAAAGTTATGACTAACCATAAATGCCACATTCGAAGTACCCGGGTTAATTCTTAAGAAACCAGATTCTAAGTGCATAGGATTGTTTGCGACCGGATGGCAAGTTTTGGATTGGTAATTTAAAAGTGGTTGCCCTAAGGATTCAAATTCCATTTCTTCGTTGTATGTAAATGGTTTAATAGTAGGAAAATCGCCTACTGCTTTAGTAGACTTCCATTTCCCAACTAGCCATCTTATAGGCTCTACAGCGGGATGAAATTGAACTGGTGGCATTTTTGTACTAAAAGGATCAAGATTCAAGTGTGTTAATTGTCAAAAGTATAACCACCTTTTTGAAATACCCTATCTCCACTGCGGCTGTATATTCGTAAATAATACACGCTGTGTAGTGTAGGTACCTAAATAAACGAAGGTGGTTTATTTACTTTGATTATATACCATAATCAAAGTTTATTTATGTACTTTATAGATTATATATTGAGGTTAGGTTAGAAAATCATGGAACGGTCATAAATACTTTCATATACAGTGTGTCCCAGGTAGAACGCAATGGTCTGTATTTCAACAATCTTTTTCACTGAATTTTCGCGCCCTTTTATGAAAAAACAAATACAAACAATGCACCAATGATAAGCGTTCGTAGGTTTATGAGTATGACAGCTACTGGCAAGAAAAATACACGCGCGCTCTATTTGCTCCAGCCATGGGCGTCGATTCCCGAAGATGTGCTTTGTTCACATCGACTGACCTTGATGTGAACGTGAATGTCACTGCATTCTCGAACCTACCACATCGAGCGAAAAGTTGATCGAACGCAACGACTGGTCTAGACCCATATATAATATAAGAGAAGTATATGGATAACCGCCTATGATTGCAATGTGCAAATTGTTCGCCATAAAAGAGAGCTGCCCTATTCCTTAGTCCTGAACTCTGTATTTATGCGCAAACTCCCCAAGTAAATATTTACTTCTCTCCGCCTACTTTTAAGTAGCGCCAATTTCAAATTTCATAACCTATAACTCGAAAATAGGGTTAAAATTTTATTAAACCATTATTGTGTGCAATTACCATATGTAAACACAACCACGCACCATTCGGAAACTTCACCCAGACTTCTATTCGCTTCATGCAGGTTCATATTCACCACATTGGCCCCATTCCACCTGCCGACTCCTATCACTATTGTCTGATCCTGTGATGTCTTTAGATAAGTATACTAGCTGGCCGAGGCCCACCCTCCCAAGACCAATCGCCGCCGAAGCGTTTCTTACCTGTTGACTATATCGCTTCGATTCCCCTACTAGCATCTTCACCGATCAGCGACGACAATTTGAATCTTCCCTTTTTTGTGCCCTCAACATTGTTTTCGGCACACAAGGATTCGGGACCTGCAGTCAATGGCCTACTTGAATGATTTCACTGCCAACTCAAATCAGCGCTCACGTGCCACCCAGTGTGTTCTGGTTCAAGGTACTCCGTATCGTTCTGCTTGGAAACTGTAGCATTTTCAAGGAGAACTTTCGAGCTTCCTCAGCGGAGTTTGTTTACGGTTACACCCTTCAACTTCGAAGGCAAACTTTGTAACGATTTAGAAACTTAAATTGCAATTGAAATAATATACCTATAGGGATTATATCTTGAATATAACTTGAAATTGGATAAGTTCGCATCAGCTATAATATAAAGTGATACATTACCAATGTTCAAAGAAACACAATTAAATTAAAGACATTTACTGATTTTAAAATAAAATTAACATTGTCGAGTTGGAAATCTTTTAGGTGTTAAGTGACCCCCATATAACTTCGTGCCCCCATCATGCTTGCGTGCATCCAAATCAATGCAGTCATAGCGGTTAAAATGACGAGAACACAACCTTGTTTTTACATCATCGAATTCCGATAGTTCACATGCTTGCAGTCACCGATTCTTGTTGCTTTTTTCACTTGGGAATCTAATAACAAGTACCAATGGCATAAATGAATTGATTGCAGATAATTGCATTGTAACTTACTTGTGCCATGAAACCGAAGAATCCACTTTCCCCACAAGTACCTGCATTTCTTTATTTCTAAGTAATGAACACACTAAAATTGCCAAACATTAGGTATTCCTTTACAATTATTGTGTATCACTTACGTATACTGATTTATATAACTACGAAAGGCTTCTTTACTATTAAAATTAAACAAAAGTTCAATAACTCATAAACTAAACAAACAATTTAACCTCAATCCGTTATGTCAAACTGGAGTAAATGCTTGGTAAATAACACTACATAATAACACGCAAGCGCATTAGCGCCTAGTTCCCAACTAATGACAGAAGTATATTTCCATCCACTAACGTTGGCGATAGGCGTGTCCACTCGTTTATCCATATACTTCTCTTATATATATGTCTAGACCACTCGTTGCGTGAAAGTCATGCGCAGTTCCAGCTACAGGACGGATCTTGCAGCTGTTTTGCTATAGAGGTTATTCAGTGCCCTAACCTATAAATTCACATATTTTCTGTGAAATAAAACATGGAATTGTTCGAGGATTTTCTGGTTATTAATAACAGTATCCTTAATGCAAAAACGAAACAAAATACAAAACTGACAAATGACAGTTCAATTCTTGTCTGTGATTGGTTAGCGCATACAGTTTGTTCGCGATTCGGGAATGCAGCTAAACTTGAACTTATCCCTATCGTATACGATCATGACGTCATGGCAGCCGGTCACATCACATGCACATCACGGAGCATATCGACCAACTTCGGGAATCGATACCCTGGCGGTTAGTCGGTCTGTGGGTTATTCCTGGACTGATATGAAAAAGCACTTACACCATGGCATGGTATAATAAAAACACCATGGCCATGCCAGTAATATGCCGGTGCTGTCAGGCAGTGAGACTGGCGCCAGCTATTGGATACGTCCCTTACGCCCCTTTAGGACAGCTAGGCGCCCAAGTGGCGCGCTTTTATTTTGAACTTATTATAGTTGTGTATACGACCGTGGTTTGGTTGTAACCATATACAGTGAGTTTTTTTTTAATGCGAACATGGGAGTTTGCATGCAATGTAATTTCCCTATTATATGTTCGATTTAAAAAAAAACACAATAATCTATGAGGTGTGCGCGGTTCACATTCCCACCAGCAAATCGCGCAACTTGTGTGACTATGAACAGCAACTCTATAGTCTTTATGATGAAGAGCACTCGGTGAGATTTTTTTAAAGAAGCCATGTGAGGCCATAGCAACTTTAGGATACATATTTTTCTTAAACTTACGATAAATTGACCTCACAGGCCACGCACTGACACCACAACTCATTGTGAACCAACCTTCAATTATTTGTAGGTCATGTGCACCTGGTATTCTACTAATTTGATCTATTCAGTACATAAATCAAGAAAATAAGAAAATAAATAACGAAAACAAGTACAATAAATGTTCGAAGTGTCCTTGACATTCTAAGCAATAACCTAACCGATTTCGTAATTAATTAATTACGGCGTATTTTTAAAAATGTGACAGCTGTCAATTGTATCTACTACTCATTTGAACTACTCAATAGATTGATGTGTTTTTTTTAAAATCGAACATAGGGAAATTACATTGCATGCAAACTCCTATGTTCGCATTAAAAAACATTCACTGTATATAAGAGAATATATATGGTTCTAACCGATGGTTGTAACTTTAACCATTGAATAAAAACACTATTTTTATTCATCGAATGATAGCAAGGTACAAACTCCCAGCGTGATATATTCATAGACATATTTTTAATTGCCAATTGTCACATAATCAAATGCAGTTTGTGTAACTATCGTATATTCTCCTTTGTAATATAGATTTTAAGGGGGAGGGGGCAAGAAATAAAATTTATTTTCGTCCATATATAATTTTATAAACTTGCGCTTTCTATTAGTATAATTCTGTATCATAGAATTTTTACCGGAACATTTGCAATTTGCATCCCTCCCAGTGCGAAACTAGACGCTCTGGAATCTTTAGTGCGAAACTAGACGAGCGTTATTCTTCCGCGGTGGAATCAAAGCAGCGTTTTGAACGCTGGAATGAGATGTACACGCGCATTATACTATGCGATCAAAAATGAGTTACTGTCGAGTTACCTTTGGAATTTTTGTTTACATGGAAAATCATATTTAACTTGAACTTGCCAAGCCGACTCGACAGCAACTCATTTTTGATCTCCCGTTATATATGGAATGACCTAGACGGACGTTTTTTTCACGCTACTCCGCTCTGATTTCGATAGTGTGAGCGAAGTGAACGCAACCGGGCGCGTTTCCGCTGCAAAATAACTCTCACTAGTGTTTAATTTCTTAACTTTCCCCAGCGATAACATTGCTCTCATGTAGCGGATGGTAACGGAGATTACGCAGCGTGTCTTCCGCTGCTGAATAAACGCCCGTCCAATTTGACAGAACGCTATAAACATTTATTAAAAAAGATCATTTTTATCATGTCATCAGGCTTAAAATGTTGACAAAATAAATAAAATATATGTAGGATATACATAGGACATCCAGAGTTCCATTTGTACATTCCGCCATTGCAGCGCTGCGATTGTAGCTCGGCCCATGGGCAGCAGTACCTTCTACCCTTGTATCTTTACGAAGCTATTGACGCCATTTTGAGTTAACTATTTGTTGTATTCGTGCTCGTCCATCCGACGCAGCAACTACTTCTACAGTTTTCAATATAGCGCTATATAGCTCGGACACCTACCAAGAAAAATCTCGTCGATTCATGTGCGCATGCGCAGGCTGCACAATATCAACTTTCTTAAACTGAAAAAATAATGAACAATTATTTAAGAATGACAACACTGGCTAGGAGAGACTTTTCAATCTATCGATTGAGTAAGACGTTGCCAAGAATAATTTATTGCCATAGCATATGGCAAATTCTGGTTTATTTGTATTCTTTCTATTGTTTTGTGCATCTTTTTCTTAACACACGACATTTTCCCTCACAGCAATTTTCTCGACAACGGCCATACCACGTTGAAAGCACCGGTTCTCGTCTGAGCAACGTCGCGCGCGGTCAGTACTCGGATGGGTGACCGCGTGCCGTTGTCTCTTTTTTTTAAATTCCTAATTACAATTTAATTTAGTTTTGCCGAAAAAATACCTATTTCAATTTTTTAACTTTGACTTGTAGGTTGTCCACACAAAAATAAGGTCTTTCGAATACCTACTTACCTTAATAAATGTTTTTGGTTGCTTTTTGAAAAAAGAAGTTCGATGCCGATGCGAAATTTACTTAATAAAAATGAAATGTAATGATTAACTCCCATATGAAACATTTTGAACCTTGGATTGTAACTGCATCAGTACCCTGAAAATGATATTAGTATTATACCGAAACTATAGGTAGGCTTTATAATCAATTTTTAAAATTCTAACTTCAGAATCTATTCATATTATATTAAACAAATCTATGGGGAAGGTCTAGAAATTTATTTATATTGATTTATTTTGGACCTTGTCTTATTTGGAAAAAATATTAATCTCATCGTTCCTCTATACAGGGTCATTCTTGACGAGCGTCAGTTAGAAAGATATGGAAAACCTTTGAAAATGAAGATAAACTGATAAGTCCTTTAAGGGTTTTGGCACATGATGAATTGAACTAAAATATTTTCAAAATGGCGCCACTTCCGGAAATACCGGAAGTAGTCATCAACTTTGTTATTTTAAATAGGGACCCCCTATTTTTCTACATTTTCGGATTCTACGTCGAATTTGGAGTACAACGATACCCCATAGTTGACCCTTTACTCCAAGGGCTTCGCCGATATTCAAGTTTTTGTGTCAAAAATTGAATTTGCAGGGGTAATTTTAAAAATTTATTATTCGAAAACGGTGAGAGATATTGCAAAACAGTTTTCAATGCTTCATTAAGGAAAGATCGAATTTTCTTATGGTATGCGTAACAGTCTAAAAAAGTGAGACTACGTCACTTTTTCAAAGCTCTCAACTTTTAAACTTTTAAATATCCGTAACTCCATTTTTTCAAATGGCACCCCCCATTTTGTTCTTCACCCTTGTTTTCCTTTTTCCCAGACCTTTAATTTGATGCAAAATGTCAAAAGCTGCTTCAAACGGTTTCCGAGTTTTCGCCGAAGGGCATCTACACTACTGGTATGTAAAACTTATAATGCTATCAAAGTTTTTATAAATATCTTCATTTTTGTGTTATGGGCAGATTTTGCCCAATTTCAGACCCTCTTAATTTCTCGACTATGCTAATATTCAAAAGGTCAAAACGGATGATAATAAGGAAAGATCAGTGGCGATAGGTTAGCAGCTGGCTATAGCTTTTGAAAAAACTAACATTATATGTTTCATTTCATACTAAGGTATAGAACACTTTTGTGCAAAGTTTCATATATTTACATATGTGTGCCTATATGAAGGGCATATACGCAACTATTCCAATAAAAAGAGTACGTTCATACTAAAATACTGCAACTTTTATAAACAAGACAACTTTAATTAACGTGATTTATACTACAGTTCAAAATCCAAAACAGTAAATTGAAATGCGACTGCACATTAAAAGTTGAAAGTAGACGTGTAGGAAGTTTAAAAATTTAAGATACAAGACCATGCTAAATTATGCACATCTAACAATAACATCAAAATTTAACACCCTGTATAGTAGAGTAAAATTGCAAACTTTTAACATTATAGAAATACATCTTAGTAAATAGAGCACCCGCAATCACATATATAATATATGTATAGTCAGACCATGTACATGAAATGTCTTAAACTGTAATCATGTGTAGCAACTAATTACATAATTAGCTCAAGTCAAATGCGTCCTATCTAATAATCGGCTGTCGCGCACGATTATAATGTGTAGACCCAAAACACTTGAGTGTACAGAAATAGCAGTCAACCGGAATGTAAACCATACCTGATGATATACAGAAAGTTTGTGCCACAGAAGCTAGCAACAACATTTGAGATTGTCGGATGTAAATATCGAAGCATGCCTGGCCACACACGCAATACCTGGCATAGTCTAAGTAATCCACTACAGTTCTCGGCACAGTATCTGGCGAGTATGCCAACCGTAAGTGTAGAACACGACGTGCCGCATAATCCTTAAGCGTACGCACAGGTAGTGGTTTTGGGTAAATTGCTGCCGGATTACCCTGTTGATTTGTATCAAATCTGTTGTGGGATAAATCTAGGGTTTGTAAGGTCCACGTCCGCGTACTTCCCGGTAGCACAGAAATCTGGTTATTCGATGCTGTAAAGAATTTCAAATGTCGTAAACTGCCAATGCCGGATGGAAGAGTTTTAATTTGATTGTTCTCAACATGTAGAGATATTAACGAGTGTAGCTTTACAAGTTGATCAGGTAATATGCTTAGATTATTATCGCTAATGTTTAATAATTTCAAAGTTTTGCATAAGTTTCCGCCAATCCATGACCATTGTCTCAAGGAACTTTTACCAAATTCGTTATGAGAAAGATTTAATTCGTTAAGATTGGGCAAGTTGTTCATTTCGGTTGGCAAGTATTCGATACAATTGTGACTTAGATCTAGTAATCGTAGTTTGGTTAATTGCAGTATGCCACGGTCCAGAGAGCATCGTCCTATGTCATTGATGTGTAAAATTTCCAGTGTCCTTGGGAATCCTTTGGTCGGATAATCGGAGCGATTTAATATCACTAATTTTTTAACAGGTGGTTTTATTGCAGATTGTGTCACAGACATAGTGGAACACAAGTGTTCTTTGTCGGTTAGTTTATTTTCGAGAGCACGCTTGAGAAGATGAAGGAAGCTTTTTAACAGTATCACATCAGCTTGAATGCATAAATCATGCGGAGGTGCTTTAAATTGGATCGTTGCCTTTCCTTCGTTTATAAATCGTGTTAACACCTTACTGATATTTTTAAGTTCGTATTTGTCTCCATTTTTATTCTGCGAGGAGAACAGCAAAACACAGTAGTCTGAAGACTTGGGATTTTTGCATAAAGCTAAAGTTGAAATTACATATTTCTTTTTGGCCTGACTAGCTGCAGTACAAATGCGGTTGACGGTCAAAACGCTGCATGATAATTTCATCTTTGGGGCAGTAACGTAACGCGCTCACATCAGAATGAAAATATGCAATCATCTCAACCTCAACAGCTGATATTGTTGTTAATTTTGGCGCCATTTATATAATATAACACAATACGCGTGTGCAAGTAATTCATTCAGGACCGGCTTCGTGTCACTTGCCGACTCATAGGCGTGCGTAAAATTGATTCGACACTCATTCCTTTTTGCGCAGCATTTTGAGACGAGTAGTTATGCAAATTTATTTCTTTCCAAGAGATGGAACCAGAATCCACTGATTTTATAGACATTTTATAACTGACTAATATTTTCTGTTTTTAATAAAGAAAAGCAACAGTTAAAAACTATTGATGAAGACAGAGGAACGAGAAAAAGACAAGCTGCAGTTGCCAGAAGTGGTACAAACGCTCAAGCGAAATAGAAATTTCAAATAAAGTATATCAAGTATGTTCATGCAAAGTAATAATAACGTACATTTTCAGTTTTCATTTATTCATTTTCGAACTCCTAGAAAACCGATAAAAATTGCAACAAGAACCGAAACCGAAAATAGTAAGTTGTAGTCATACAACTAGAACTCTCAAAAAATCATTTGACCTAAGTAATACAAAACCGGAAGGTATATTTCTAGATATATTTCATCTGGGTTCCAACCTTTGATTCTTTTATTTTCAGAATTTCTACTAAATACAAAAAACCTGTTAAGTCTGAATTAAAGATAGTTAAATAAATAAAAAAAGGCTCTCGCAAATGGATATTGAAGTGTACCGATTATTGTGTTATTTCGCTTTTGTTTGACTTTCAAGCTTTTTATGATGTTTTTAGTATGTCCGGTAACCTATCATAATTTGAGGTTGCCCGTGTGAAGCGACTAACATAACAAGAATAGAAATTAATCGCGTCATTATATCCCATAGTCAGTTAGGCTTATGACGCAACATTCTTGATTACGTCGTCATACACATAGCCCCCACATTTGCGCATCACGTACCGCCACTGTTGCTTCTATGAAGTTTTTCTGACAGTGACAGTTGGGTTTTCGGTTCTTCTATTTTTTTAAATGAAAGTAAAATATGATGAATGTGGATGAATTCACTGCAAACGAGTCATATTGCGATACAAAATCCAATGCGAATATCGCTTTTTTAGCGATGCTGGTATTTTGAGTAGCAATGTATGCGCGATACACAACATACCGTGAACGCCTTTGCTATGCCACCATTGACTAGTTGACGTCACGCAAAATAAAAATGTCGGGTAAGATTTTCAAATTCAAATTAATATAATTGCTAATTTCCCACTTTCTAGATTTGTTTGCTAACATTAATTGCACATATTGTCAAGAAGAAATAAACGGGTTGCGTGTGCAATGCTGCGTTTGCATAGAATTTGATATATGTTTGCAGGTAAGGTGTAAATTATTGCCAGAAGAGGGCGCCTCGATAAAACTGCGGGATATTTAAATTTTAGTGTTTCGCCAATGGAGCCGAAATAGGCCCGCATCGCAATGATCACGCATATAAATTTGTGGTAAGTGTAGAAAAATGCCGTATTTTTTTTAAATCGAAGTGTAGGACCATGGAGCCGTTAGTATATTTGGAGGCAGAGGTAATTGGACGGGACGAGAGGAATTGCAACTGTTGGATGCTATGGAACTGTATGGATTTGAAAACTGGGACTTAGTCAGTAGGCATATTGAAACACGTACTCCTGAAGGTAAGTTTGAACGCTGCATGAAGGCTGTGGGAAGAGGTGTGACTCGCTCTCTACAAACTAAGTATGGTAACGTGGTATCCCCCTCTGAATCTTTTGTAAGCGTGGAGGTATTTTGTTGGCAGCTGTTGGATAGTAGACCAAAGTGTCACGAATTCAAACAAAAGGAGCATGTCTTTGACCTCCCCGAAAACATCACAACATAATTTTATTCTAATTAAGAGCGTACAGATTTTCTTTTAACTTTTAACACAAATTTTGCTACCCAAGATCAGTTTACAGATTAGGTTGTACCTCGGCGTGTACAATGATTCGTGTGACCTATGTTTTTAACTGGCATGAATCAGTCATGTCCAAATTCAGGTGACGTACACCCTACAGCTCATAACAAAATAAATGCACCCTAGCTTTTTTTTAAAATTTGATGTAATAAAGAACAAACCCCTTTTGATTGTGAGGATTGTGTAAATAAAGGAACGAAACACTACCACCAAATTATGCATCATAGATCGTAAATGATGACATATTACCATATGGAAACCAGCGCTTTCTATATGCACTTTTTTCCGGAGAATCTAATCAGAATTTCCATAACACGCTAGTTGTAGAAGCTACAGGCTACTACTTTCTTTTTTTTATGGCCGCCATAATGGTTTTATACAGAATGAGATAGACAGGCCCGTAGCTAGGGGGTCGCCACCTAGAACATGGTCTTGCCCCCACTGGAAATTACGTACGGTTGATGGTTCCTTTACAAAAAGGACAAGGGAAGTGTTTCTCAAAAACTTCTTAAGTCCCACCTGGAAAAATGCCGGCCACAGGCTACGGGCCTGGAGATAGAGAACAAAAAAAGAAAAATAATGACCCTTCACACGTCAGACTTTTAAATAAATTAACAAGAACAATTTCAAAATCAAATGTTTTACATTCATTTTTCAAAACATCTACAGGTAATGAGATCTTGCTGAATCAATATGCTTATGATGGCTATGCATTTATTTTTTGACCTCTAAAAATCCAATATGGCGTCCATAAGAAATAAGAAAGTAGTCTGTAACTTCGACATCTAGCGATTTATGGAGATTCTGATAACAGATTCAGTTTCTCCAAAAAAAAGTTCCCAATGGGATCCATTTCCGACAATATAAGCTACAGAAAATGAAAACGAAATTTGAAATTTTGAGTTTTCGGTGATGTCCTCATTTAACCTACACTGCATCGCTTACCGTTACTGAGATCCCAGTGGTGGGCTACAAATTTGAACTACCCTGTACTTACTTTTAGTTATTTCCCGATGAGCTTTGTTGTTGAAACACGCACGATTTATTAAAATTTTATAGTGGTTTAGTGGCTTTTTTAACATCATTTTCTAACTATTTTTCTACAACTCCAAAAGTCCCAACACATGAGTTTTTAAATTTTTTACAACTGATAGAAGGATAAAATTTGTGGCGTTATCTAGGTTTTTCAGTGTGGTTTGTCTGATTTGGTACAAATATTCACCAAGATGGTGCAACCCTAAACGGGGTTTAATTTAATTCCGAAGATATGCCAGAAAAACCGTAATTTACCGATTTCGTTTTTATTTTTTTCTATTTGAACAAATGCAAAATAGTATATTAATACCGCGGGACTGAAGTAGTACTTTTAATCCCGAAGGTAAAGTTTATGGCCCGACCGAAGGGAGGGCCATAATTTACCTGAGGGATTAAGACCACTACTTCAGTCGCAAGGTATATACGATATTTTTCGTACTTCCGAAACTGAAACACTTAATATGTATGGAGTTAGAGAACGCGTTCTTTCAAAAAATCGCTACCATAGGAACGTTGCGGTGGTATGACAATCCCTATGCTATGGTAACAAAAATAATTTGGAAACTGTCATTGCTAGTGTCATAATTTTGGTGGTCGGTGACAAAGGTGTATTTGATATTAATAAAAAGCGGCCAAAGTAGGTAAAGAATTGATACCACCGGAATCCAAAAAACTATATGAGCAGCAGTACGATGCGTTTAAGAAGTAGTGCCGCATACAAAATGTGGAACAACCTACTGAAATTGCCTTGTTAGTAATTTCATCCTTCCGGGATTTTCGTCTAAATTTAATCCCGGCGGGACAAAAAGTGACACTTCAGTACTTGTCATAATGGAGTGAAGTTGTTACTTTAGTCCCGGAAGTACGAAAAATATTAAAAATCCCGGATGGTTTAGATTCACAATTGGGCCCGATCGAATTATAGGATTTTTAAAAACTTATTTTTTTGTCGATGTTGCACTCTAATATTTCACGTTCCTTTTATATTCGATAGCTTATAGCTCAGGCACATAACCCACGAAAAATCGTGATGAATAATGTGCGCATGCGCATGTAACTGTTGGTTTCTACATGATGGCGCACAACGCCCTAAACGTGCCAGACAATTTTCCTGGAAAATAGAAAATTTGCCCAATACGTTGAAACCACCAAATTTACAAGTTGTTTTTTTTTTGTGCTGTATATCGCTGTATTCATAATAAAAAATGCTACTCAATAAAGTATGTACTTTTTTTGGGAACCATATTGAAATATCTCTCAACGGTGTCTGTAGTGCTCAAAAAGTGGCAATGAAAAAAATAAATACAAAATAGGCAAATTTCAGTTTGTCTGGCATACCTTCGAAAGTAATCGGAATTTGATGCTTCTGTTCACATCGCATATATGGTAAAAATCAGATGTGCCCATGCGCAATGCGAACTTTCTTATTTATGGAGACATTTCTTTGAAATTTTAACCGTAAATGCTTCAAGTAGCGAAAAACATAGCGCACATATCTAATACAGAGTTAATTAATTAATTACAGAAGCAAAAGATGAATATATCTCTAGATACCTAGAGGGCAATATCGGCAAAGCAACATGGGCTGAAGTAGCAAATCGTAGGCCAATAATAACTGATCAGACGCCTGAAGATCGGGGACCACTATCGCCATTAATAACGGCAAGACTACCACCCTTAGATGTAACCCCGGAAGAAGCAAGGCAGTTAGGATACATGATGCACAGAGACGACTATGACAGAGTACCGTTTCAAAGCAATTCTGCGTGGTTTTATTTTATATTTTAAGGAATTTGACATGGCAGCAGAACAATTAGTAACCTCTCTACAACTAAATGTACATGAAGATAGTAATACGGAAATTGCCCTAAAGTTAGCACAGGTGGATATGTATACCAGGCGACTAAGAGAGCGAGCGCGACGAAAACGGGTAGTGCGAGATTACCAATTAGTTGCCAAATTTTTTAGTGGGCAAAGGAAAGAAGTAAAGAAACCTCTGACCAAAGAACAACGGTAAGTAATTGGTACCGCCAAAAGAGCATCTTCATTTTGTGTCTTTAGAGAACTGCGTGATAGAATGAGAGTGTTCAGTCAGTTTTTAACGGCGGGCGAGCACGACCGACTGATAGCTAGCATAGAAAGGGAGCGAGAGCTTAGATTTCGAATTTCCGAATTGCTGAGGTATCGCAGTCTTGGCCTCACAACGCAAGAGGAAGCCATACACTATGAACAACACGCTACTTTTCAACGTCAGCAGCAACTTAGGCAAAATAAGGCTGTAAGTTTTGCTTTAAGTTTGTGCAAATTATTGACACGTAGTGCCTCTCTATCCGTCCTCACACATTTCATAAAAAAGATTAGCTTCATACCTAACCTTTAGGGCTTGTGACAATTTCTGCACAAAACTAACAGTGATGCACGTTGGTATGGTTTTGTTATAAATTTGATGTATCGTAAATGTAATTATTACTACCATCATGGTTTGGTTTGTGTGCAGGCTAGAGTTAACAGAAAAACTCATGTGAACAGATCACACAGATTGTATCAGTTTGCATTTCACTTAGGGCAGCAGTGGCTATGCAGTATCAATTCAGGAAAACCAATTCAAAAACGGGTGAGTCGATTAGTTAAGATGGAAATAATATTGTTTATAAATTCGTTGCTCTTTCATGATACTCTCAATATTGCTACTGTTTCTTTCTAAAAATTTTATGTAATAATACCTATTTATGCGTTAACAGAAAAAGCGAAAAAGAATTAGGTTCCATAGACAAAAGATTCACGTGGCTTCAAGAAAACGACTTAGAGAACAACTCTTACAGCAGCAACAGCAGCACCTTGGATAATGTATTACAGCCATCCCTTCATTCTCTGCCACATGGTATTTTGTTGTCTCAGTATGAAATACAAGTACGAATAATATATCTCTACTTTGTGTCTGATGGTCTACTTTCGCGACAGAACAATTTTTACCTGCAATAAATTTGAAGTGATTCTGTCGCAAAGTAGATCATACCGTAAGAATAAATGTTAAGCTTCAATTTTAACTTGTGTTGTTCTTTTAGCTTTGTTCTTCATTAAATTTGGAACCTGTGCAGTATACGACACTGAAAACGCTCATTATTCAGGTGAGATTGTCATTTTTATTGGGTTAACTATATATCTAATTTACATTTTTTGATTAACTGTAGATTAAGAGATGTTAATAAACTCTTTTCTTCTTGCAGGATCATTTGGTGTCTAACAGAACAAAACCTACCGACTCTGAATCCAGCTCAACTGATGTCAGCATTCGGGAAGCAGTGACTCAATATTTAAGTATGAGTGGTTGGCTCCCGGGGGTGGTTGTTTGATCTCATTTGTTTAATTGTAGTTTCATGCATTTTCATTGTTAATTATTTATAATTTGCTTTGCATATCTGTACAGTAGTTATCATTTTTGGTATTTTTATAGAAAAATGCGGGTCTGTAGCTTTTATGTTTTTAATGGATCCCCATACGCGCTATCGATCAAATTTACTTAGTACTGTATATAAATAAATAATTTGTGATAAATAGGTAAAATAGCGTTTTGATTATATTTCTAACGTGAGATGTAAATTAGTAAGCATTCTTTTTTGTACTGGCACATGTTAAATAATAGGTAGTATTAGTGCTATTCCATAAAACCGTTGTATTTCATATTTTGAGAAAATGTTTTATATTTTAATTTATTAATGAACATTTTTCAATCATTAGTTTAAATGCTGATACCTTTTTTTGGTAGTAGTTTTTAGTATAGGAACAATATTGCACAGAAATTTAGGGTGACTTATTATGCTTTCGTGTCTTCAAAGACAAACTCACATTGTAAATATCAGTTTCCTTTAAATTCTTTTAGTTAGGAATGTAAAATATTGTTAAATTGATATTAAAGATTGAAAGTGGTTGAATATTGTCTTTTTTAATAGTTATTTATATAAAAGTAAGGAAAATGATACATTACTGGCGAGGAAATATTGGAGGATGAGGCTGAGTACCTACATACTTTAATTTCCTAGTCAAGTAGTGTCATTTTAGTGACGAGTGATAATAAATAATTTGGAAACTGTCATTGCTAGTGTCATAATTTTGGTGGTGCGTGACAAAGGTGTATTTGATATTGATAAAAAGCAGCCAAACTAGGTAAAGAATTGATACCACCGAAATCCAAAAAACTATATCAGCAGCAGTACGATGCGTTTAAGAAGTAGTGCAGCATACAAAATGTGGAACAACCTACTGAAATTGCCTTGTTAGTAATTTCATCCTTCCGGGATTTTCGTCCAAATTTAATCCCGGCGGGACAAAAAGTGACACTTCAGTCCTTGTCATAATGGAGTGAAGTTGTCACTTTAGTCTCGGAAGTACGAAAAAACCATTATCCTTTGTGTAGGTATATTTAAAAATATCCATATAGTCTGCATTATAATTATTCAATCGTTGATTGAATAACTTATTCAATGAACGATTTCATTGTTATTTTGCATGTACTAGGACTGTAATGCGCGTCAGGCAAAAATATTACAGTACTAGTCAGGTAAAGATCAACTTTCTAATGTCAAAATAAACCTGAAATTTAGATTTTCTTGACGTTTTCAGGTAAACATTCTTATCTGGTATTATGCATTAAGTTGGAAACACACGATCGAACATCACAACAAACATGTACGGGCGTACATGTTTGTCAAACGTCAACGTCAAACATTATCACACAGACTAAATGAATCCACCTACATGTTCGAAGCGTTTTTCGGTGCAACACACACACGTTGATGTTTGACGAACATGTACCTACGCGCGTACATGTTTGTCGTGATGTTCGATCGTGTGTTTCCAGCTTTATGGAAAATTGTATAATTGGGCGCGTTCACCAGACGAAGCGCTTCATGAGCGCTACCAAAGGCGTGATTACTCTTGCAAGATTTCTCGCGTGAGTTGCTGTCTGAGCACTCTTGAGGGGTAAATGCTACCGTACGCCCCACTTACGGTGGTATGTCGGTATATCGCGAGCGCTCGAAAAAAGTGCTCGTGAGCGGAAAAAGCGCTCGGGAGGGGAAAAAACCGCTCGCGAGCGAAAAAAACGCTCGCGAACGGCGCTTGATCATACAGCGCTTGAAGGTGGTTAAAAGCGCTCACGAGAGAAAAAAAACTCTCAGGAGCGGAAAAAGCACTCGGGAGCGGAAAAAACCGCGAGCGAGCGAAAAAAGCACTCGCGAACGGAAAAAGAGCTCGCGAGCGAAAAATGAGCTTGCGAGCGTAAAAATACGCTCGAAAAACCGCTCGTGGGCAGAAAAAAACGCTCGAGCGCCGAACACTTTAAGTAAACGCTCGAGTATGAAGCACCAAGCGGTCGCTCCGAAAAGTGCTCGCTTTTCCCGCTTGGAGGGCTTTTTCGAGCGGAACACTCCCTAGCAGTACCCAGCTCTGTTTGTCTGTCTATCTGTGTGCATGATAACTTTGTTTATAAACGCCGGATCGCTTTGAAAATTGGTACGCATGTTCTTAAGGATATAAGAAAGGTCGCTATTGTTTTCAGCTACGTAGACTAACGGGCTAAACAGATATAGCCCAAAAACTGACCAAACCTCCAAAAAATATATAGGATTCTTTTATCATTCTTGTTACAAAGAACATATGAATGTCCGGTTTTCTGTGTTAGTAAAAATATTCCTTAATTAAACCTATGAAGACGAATTAAAAAAATTTGCAGCGTTGGTAACTGCGGAATCCAATTTCTTTATTTGTTGAGATAGTTAAATGAAACTTGGTATACGAGGGTGGATTGATATAAAGCTAGCCTTTGATAGAAAAAACAAGTTTTTTGGGGTTAAATCGATTTATTTCTCAACATAGTCCCCTTTTAGCTCTATACACTTAGTAAAACGATGTTCCAATTGTTTTATCCCATCCGAATAGTACTTTTGCTCGAGCTCTTCAAAATAGGCCGAAGTTTCAGCGAAGACTTCATCGTTTGTTGCGAAACGGCGTCCTCCAAGACATTTTTTTAGGTTTGGAAACAGGAAAAAGTCGCTGGCAAGATAAATCGGCGAAAAAATCCTTCGGATCGCGCCGTACGTATCATCGCCAAAAGCGTCTCCGAAGTGGTCACACGTTTTCGCATTTGGTCGTTTGTCAGCAAACGCAGCACCCATCGCGCGGATAGCTTTTTCATGTCCAAATGGTGGTGAATGATGTTGTGTACGCGTTCGTTGGGAATGTTTAGGGCCTCTACTAACTCGCGGAGCTTGATTCGACGATCTGCCATAATCATGTTATGGACTTTGTTGATCATTTCCGGCGTGGTGACTTCATTTGGCCTCCCGGGACGCTCATCATCAAAAACACTCGTACGACCACGAACAAATTCAGCTTTCCAAAATTTTACTGTTGCTAACGAAGGTGCAGCCTCACCATATACTTCGTCCAGGTCAGCTTTGATTTGCACATTCGTTTTCCCCTTTTTGTGGAGGAACTTAATCACCGAACGATACTCGATTATTTCCATTTTTCTTCTGGCGGCTGTAAAAATTAAACTAATAGTTTTTTTGGCTTAAAATTTTGACAGAGGTCGTGTCATGAATGGGAAATGTCAAAACCGAGAGCAATTCGGTATCAAGTCACGCCATCTATCAAAGGCTAGTTTTATATCAATCTATCCTCGTATATACAGAGTGGTGACTTGCGTAACGCATCATAGGGATTTCAATGTAAAATTCATATCATGTTACATGCGATTATTGGCTCCCTAACGGCCGGTTGCAGGAAAGCGAATTATAATCAAAATCCTACATTATTTGCCAAATTTGACATTTGATTGGCTGCATACTGCAGTATAAAGCCAATCAGATATCTTAATACTAGGTTTAAACAATGATCCTAGATTATTTTTCTTTTGTGCAACTGGTCGCAAATTATTTTAGAGCAAAAATGTATTAAGGTTTTTTGTAGAAAACATTTTTTTACGCCAATCAACAGTATTAGTTTTCAATTTTTTTCGTAATAAAGACGGAAAATTGTAAAAATAAAGCCCGCATCTTTTTCAATAATCTGTGATGCCACCTGTAGGAACGTGTCACGTTCCATGCAAATCACAACCCTAAATGTAAATTTTTAAAATTACGTTAAAATCTGAACAAGAACATTTTTTTGAAAACCCATAAAACTTGAAGAAGAATTATTCAAACGCGTCATGGGTTTTCCAGTAAACATTAGTTGAAGATATTGCAGATAGGAAGACGAACGGGTGGGGTGTTTTCTTGTACGCGATTCCTTATAAACAGAAACTTTTGTGCAAAATTTCAATTCAATGGTAGGTTTATTAAAAAATTAGATTTGGGGATGGAAAAATGGACACATTTTCTCATACCATGGGTACATATTCTTCTACAAAATTCCCAATTTTACCTCGAATGGAAAAGTTGGCAGATGTTATGGGATGAAGAAATGCATACCGGGATTCAAATGTATCCTGGGAAAATTTTAATGAGAAAGCTAGCTAGGTTTAAGGTGTTTTATGTATATAGTTCATTTTGGCCGGGCCATTGCACCCACCATTATTTGCTCCACCACATGGGGCATTGCATTTATTTTTTTATGCGACCCAAATGTTAAGCTCATAGCAATATATTTCATATTTCGTGTTCTTAATAGTTTTTAACGAATCTTGACCGCAACTTAAGCAATAACACTATGGCAAAAGGTACGTTATATCAAAAATTTATTAAGTTGACAAGCATTAGTTTAGTTTATGTTCGTCCACAAATTCGACACCAAATTGGCATTAGGTAATGCGCTCATTTCCTCCCTCCGCGTGTTTGCTTTGGCTTGTTATATTCGTAAGACGCGCATTTGGGTATATGCCTTTCTGCCGCAGTCTGATTGAATTTTCTCCCGCAGTGCGGACATTGGACGTAATCTGGATTGTCGCTGGGAGGAGGAGGAGGTAAGTCCGATAACTTGCCGCCCCTTGCAACATGGGCTTGGGCCATCTTCGCTGCTCGGATTGCCCCTATAAATTCTTCATGCTTCCTTCTCCAATCAGTTTTCTTTACTTGCGTAGATTGTGGCTTTGTGGAGAAAAAAAACTGATTAATTCAATATATAACAGGATACACACTGCTATACAAACTCTAATTTGGTTTGTTAGTTGAGTCATCTTTCAAATAGGTACTATACTAGTCCTCTCGACTAGGAGTATAGGTAATGTATTCAGATCGTTTCCAGCAGCTAGTACTTATTTATATATCCCAAGAACATATAGTAATAAGTACTTCTAGTAGCACAATTTTAAGGATACACTTACCCTTTGTGACAAAGATTTTGTTTGTTTCTTAGTATAAGGTTCTAATTCGGTACCCTGAACCCGATGTTTAGTAGCGTCATAGACTTTTCGATTCTTTTTTCCAGTCTTCGCGCAAATTTCTTGGTGAATTATTAAACGATCATCGGTGAATCTACGGTTGCAATATTGACAGGCCTGGAGATCATCCCTAGCCACAACTCCTTTACCGGATTGCTTAGAAGGTGGTCTACTCGATGCCTCATCGCGGGCTGATGCTTTCTAAATTATGTACCTACTTTATTTCGTTTATTAACTCTAAGTTTCTTACCTTAGCACTCGATTTTGAAGACATATGGCTCTTGGACAACTTCGAGCGTTTTCATTCAAATTTTTGGGGATACGTTTCTATATTTAGGAAGATGACTTGCGAATTCAATTTTATAAAAATATTATTATTGTCCAAAGTGAGATTGTATTTGTGTTTTCTAATTTAGTACAAATTTGAAGTGTCTCCCAAATGACATTTTTATAGTCACCTTGGTTACCGAAGGCAGTTCAATAACGTATTGCTATGTGCAAAAAAAACAGCTACCTCAAAAAATATAGTCCCTCACAAAAACAAGGAACTCTTAAAATCCATGCTCGTAATTTGGGCTCAAACTAATACAAAACTGTTTATTTAAACAACACAAATTTGAATAATATCAGAAAAAATAAAACGACATTGACAAATTTCGGGGTTTCTGGCATATTTTTGGAAGTAATTGGAATTTTCTGGGGTTTTTAAAGCATGATGACAAGTCTAACAATTGTGTATTTTTTCTCTAAGTTGACCATCGCTTCTATGGTTTCCGAGATTCCCATGATAGACATCCTTATCTTGGAAGTTGTAAAAAAGCAATGCTTGTGAGTATTTTGGATTATCCTGCAGTAATGTGAGTGAAATTTACTATAACTCTCGCCAGGAAAGATTACCGGTCACAGAACAGTTGATCCCGATCTACAATCTCTGTTTTTCGAAAGGTGCTAGCAACTTCCGGGATAGTATATCGTGTCAGTGTTGAACGAAAAGACTTTTTGTTCAACATTAGCACGCAGGGACGTAACTAGGTACCCGCAGCTACAGCGACTGCGGGGGGGCCCCAGAGTTCTGGGGCCCCCAACTAATCTCCTTATTTGAGTATTCTCAACTTCTTTGAGAAAATTGTGATTAGTTTGGTTGATGAATTTGCTGCTACTGTATATTTTAAATTTTTATAATGTATAATATCGTCTTAACCTTTTTTTTGTTTATTTTAAGGCAAAACTTGTAAAAATTAATAAAAATTCTTCTTAGGCACTGCCTTTTTGTTTAGGGACTTGGAGAGAGGGCCAATAAAAATGTTTGCGGGGGGGCCTCAAAATTATAGTTACGTCGCTGTTAGCACGATCCTATTCCAGAAGTCGCTCGCATCTTAATAAAAACAAAGTTTGTAAATCGACACAAGGTGTGCTGTGACCGGCAATCTTTTCTGGCGAGAGTTATAATTTAACTTCGCTGCCGAGTAGCGTTACGTCCAAGTTTCACACGCAATTCAGGAACGGTTGCCGTGGAACTTTCACTGTTTTTGTAACGGGCGATCAAAAATGAGTTGCTGGTCGCCTTTGGAAGTACGATTTCCCATGTAAACAACAATTCCAAAGGTAAAGATTACTCGAAAGTAATTCATTTTTGATCCCATAGTATTAACTTGCTCAGTTGTCATCTGCTCCATGACGAAAATAAACATCAAACAACAATTCTCGCCAAACAAAAGTGATTAGGCTACTAATGGGAAAGTCATCACAAACATGAAAAATCCACGGCTGCTAACAGTCATAGGACAAAATGGCAACAAATTCAAATTCGTCCCTACTTCCTGGACACCTCCATTATATGTAGGTATAATTGCTATTAAGAATGCGAGTAAAAGCAGGAATCACTTTGTTGCTTTTGTCGATACACGAAGGATAGGTAAAGGTTCATTTTGCTTAGGCATTTATTTAGTAAATTACAAATTTCGGCAAATATATACTTAAACTACAAAATCTATAAATGCGTTATTTATTATAAAAAATAGTACTTGTAAAGGGGTGGGGCCCTTGTATAATTTCTGAGGGTAAGTATAAGATTAGTTCTATCACAGATATACGTATATCTGTGGTTCTATAGAGAATCTGTTAAATAATCTTGTATTAAGTGATTGCGTTGAGTGGCATGCCTATACTTACTTTTGGTTGTGACAGGTCTATCTAGAATTATCGATTTTGATGAAGTTAGTAAATTTCCCACCAGATTTAGAGACTAGCAAGTAATTTATAGCAATTGCTAATAACATAGCACCTTTACACTTAGGTAAAAATTCAAATTTTGAGTAGGATCTCTATTTTAAGTAACAATTAGACTAAGTTGGTCCCAAAATTTGATAAGTAACAAATTAGCATTCGTGGTCTTATTTTCGTCCCCCTCGCGTTTGCTTTGGCTTGTTGAATACGTAAGTCGAACATTTAGGTATGTGCCTTTCCGCTGCAGACTGATTGAATTTTCTTCCGCAATGTGGGCACTGGATGTAATCTGGATTTTCAGCGGGAGGAGGAGGTGGTAAGTCGGATAGTTTGCCGCCTTTGGCTAAATGGGCTTGGGCCATCTTCGCTGCTCGAATTGCCCCTATAAATTCTTCATGCTTTCTTCGCCAATCAGTTTTCTTTACTGGGGGTGCCTGTGGCTATCAAAAGAAAAAAGTTGAATAAGAAACGTCTCCGAGATAATGGCCCATATGAATAAAAGAGAGCATATGCTTATACTTGCAAAATTCAAAGGAAATACTCGTAAGTGCTCCTTCACACTGGGCGACTTATCAGCGCTGCTGAGCAGCAGGACAGGACGCAGTGCTAAACAGACCAGTATGAAGGGGCACTTACAAGTATTTACTTAGATTGAATTTTGCATATATAAGCATATGCTCCCTTTTATTCTTACGGGCCGGATTGGTGAGTGCTACGCGAATGCTGCAATCTCTGAACATAGTTCCTAACATAGCAATCAATTGTTATCTACGTGGACTACTTACTAATTATATAGGGGGTAGTATGGGAATGCAAGTGCTTATGAATAACAAAAAATGAAAAAAAGGCGAGTAACTTTAGCGCATTTTCCATGAATTGATCAGTACTTCCCGAATGGTCATATGCATATAACCGACTATTTATATGTACATACAAAGGAAAGTAAGTTTAGGCATAATTGTACATATCCTTATAAATGAGAAATTTATGGGATGTGTTTCCATTTACTAGAAGAATGTTAAGATTTTAAAAAAATATCTATAAAAAATAAGAAGGTTGACATTATGCGCATATCTGATTATTATAAGATGCGATATCCTTGTCTTTAATAGACGCATCTGTTGTTAAAATTTCAAAAAAATATCTCTATAACTAAGAAAGTTGATTTTGCGCGGCAGTCTGCGCATGCGCAAATGAATCGTCCAGATTTTTCTTGGTTAAGGTGCCAGAGCTATAACGTACCGAATGCAAAAAGAACGAATTAAATATCTTGAAAATTGTGTAGGAGTAGTTAAGGCCTCGAACGGACGGGCGGAGAAAGAGCCCATAATAGCGCCTTTAAACATGAATTTGAAAATGCGCTAAAAAGGAACGTTCCGTAAGAAACCTTTTTCATACAGTAAGAAACGCAATCTCATTACCATTGCGCGTCACTGATTTTTTGAAATTAAGAAATTGCTTACTAAAAAAAAGTTATTAATTATTGACGATAATCTTTGGTTGATTCCCTAGTAACATATGGACAACGGAAATTGTATTCTACTACCGTTTAAACAAATATGTGCAATTGACCATGCTTATTATTTCACGGTGTTTACCTGATTTTGTTGTTTTGGTCTAGAATTGGATAGAACCGGATTCTAATAAAATGAAAGTCAAAATTAGCAAACCAGTAAAATGAGTTAGCGGCATATTTTTAAAGAAAGAGCGGCCGCAAGCTTTTCTCCAATTTCCCGATTTTACACAAACTGGAAAATAATAGACCTACCTTTTGTGATTTTGTTTGCTTCTTGGTGTAGGGTTCCAATTCCGTCCCCTGAACACGATGTTTTGTCGCGTCATACACTTTTCGCTTCTTCTTCCCAGTTCTCGCGCAGATCTCTTGGTGAGTTGCTAGGCGATCCTCGGCGAATCTACGACTGCAATACTGACATGACTGCATATCATCTCTTGCAGCAACGCCTCTAACGGATTGCTTGGAAGGCGATCTAACCGAGGGCCCATCGCGAGTTGGTGGCTTCTGAAGAGTATACAGCTCACTTCTCTTGTAAATCGAAACTTACGTACCTTAGCAGGAGATTTGGAAGACATGGCTCCTGGAGAACTTCGAGTGAGCGGACGACTTGGAGAGGGAGGTGTGTATGTTTTCGGTATGGGAGAGGTTTCCTTGGCAGGCGTATTTTTCGGAGTAGTGTTAACGATTCGTTTGGGAAATGGCTGAAAGTTTTAAAAATGATTACTATCACATTCATTTCCAAACATCATCAGACGTTTTCATCCCAAGCTATAGGGGGGAGGGGTTTAGTTAAAGGACGCCTAATTAATTCATTCGCAGAACGACTGGGTTCAGAAGGATTCTACAAACATAAACGTGATATGAATCATGATTAACGTAGGTCCCACATTTTTTAGATTGTGTTTATTTTTATTCGAATCTTCTAGTAAATGTTTTCCTTTAAGGGATGATTTTTTACATTTGGATGTGTTAGCATTTAGCGCTATTTCCTGTAACAGACATAAATAGTGTGATAAATCGAATTTACTACATAAGCCAAACATTTGGATAGCAAATATTTCTTGCTTGGATTGGAGTGGGTCGAACATTCTTATTGGACAAGTTCGGTGAACTATGATGATGTTGGCTGAAATTCGAAGGATGAGGAAGTTTGGACATAAGCGTCTTGATAGGAGGCGTTATATAAAATTCTGTTTTTTCGCCAGAAGTCTGCAATACAAATGGTTAATAATTACCGGTTATTGCACTTTAGTAGACCCTAACGTGCTGGGAAAAAGCATTGGCACTATGGGATTGTTTGACTTTGACTCGTGGATGTATGGGAACATAAACCTTCAGGGTTGGTTGCTGCAAATTTAAGGTTTAGATGTTTTTTCGAAAAATACTGACGAACGTTTTCATTGATTTTTTGTGGAATGTCTCCTCTCTCTTTGGGAGAGGTTCGCTTAGTAAATATGTTGCGAGACACCTATAAAATAATGCACGTAATTAATCAAGTAATAACAACATGGGATCAGGCAAAGACCAAGCATTACAATTTGCAAACTGCAACGTTTTGCCTACGCAGAAAGCTACGAACAGTTTTGAAATACCATTTTCTGGGGTGGATCAAGGTAATTGGATACTTTTTCCCTGTCCCTGTCTCCACACTCATAAACACGATTTATAGGCATTGTTAGAAAAACGATAACTTTTGAATATAGATTACGTAATTAAAGACCATAACGATGAAAGATGCCTATTCCAATCCCTTTGACACTTTGATAGACACATACTCGACTACTAACTGACTACACCACCTTTTTGGCCGATCAATATTTTATAATCAATATTTTATTAACAAGAAGCAATATCTTGTGTAAAGCGAAGAAGTATGTGTCAATAATTGGTACTGGAAAATAAAAAAATATTTACTAACTTAATGTGACTTCTGAATTCACAATCCACCCCACTTTGTATCCTTTACGCATTGCGATCTCCTCAACGGCATCCATGTTGGAAAACTGTTCACTCACGCGTGACGTCACGCGACCGTACTCAAAAGCGTTCCACTTAAGCTTTTGAGTACTGTGTGACGTCACGCTTGAGTGAACAGTTTTCCAACATGGATGCCGTTGAGGAGATCGTAATGCGTAAAGGATACAAAGTGGGGTGGATTATGAATTCAAAAATCACATTAAGTTAGTAAATATTTTTTTATTTTTCAGTACCAATTATTGACACATACTTCTTCGCTTTACACAAGATTGCTTCTTGTTAATAAAATATTGAAGACGACTTTTGAATTTCTATCATAAATGCTACGGCCATACTTAATACGATGATAATGAACACTTCTCCCCAGAATCAATATTCACCGTTCTCTGTCAATTTGACTTGTAAGTCCTTACCCCAGAACAAAAAACTTAGAAGGGAAACGTAAACGGGAACAACTGAGTACAAACATAATTAGTTTGGAGAACATTCAATAGAGGGCGCATAGTTAGCGTGCGTGTTAAAGTTACTAAATCTAGTAACTTTAGTGCGTGTTCGCCATTATGACAGTTGAATTTTGAATTTTGATTGACGGCTTATTGTGCTTTAAGTATAATTACTATTCATTATTACAATGAATTCTGCATACACAAGTCGAGAACGTACATGTTGTGTGACAAATTGTGAAGACGTTTCCCAAAAATGGAGCCCGAAGTTTTTAAGAATTGGTTTAGAATATAATGTGGAAGAAATTTACACACAAGTTTTTGGTTTGTGAACGTCATTTTTCTGGATGCGGTTTAGAACCTGGAACACGAAGAGATTTAAAGCGTGTGGCAGTTCGCACATTATATTAGCAGGTAACACTAATTGAATTGTAATAAATTGCCACATATTTTATTTTTAGAACGATCTGGAGAGCATCATACAGTAGAGTTCCATGAAGTTGATCTTGTATCTTATATAATCGTATTAAATTAAATATAACTCCTTGATTGGATTAATTGAAGTTGTTACTTATAAAACAAGTGCCCTGTACTCTTTGAAGGCCCTGACTGGTGAGGTGCATCCGCATTAAACTGAATTTATTTGGAACCCTAACAAATAAAATTGGACTTCACTGGCTGGATTCATTTACCTTTTAGGTTTCAGCTAGTCAAATCCAATGTTATTGTTACAGATCCGGAGAAATTCACTATAATGCGGACGTAGCTTACATTTAATATTTAAATTTGGCGCCATTCACGCAAAAGCTGCTGAGAACATACACGAGATGGCGCGTCATTTTTACATTACACTACAGTTTCCATTCTAAGTTTGTTGTTCTATGGTCCTTACTACGGTTTTGGGCCGTCGGAGCCTAGTCTGTTGCCGGGAACAAAATTCGAAAATTCGGTTTCGTTCTCGAATTATCTCACTAAAGAACGAGCATACTGACGGGCGGACGGCGGACACACAAACACACCGAAGGAAAGGGCAAAACCCACTGAAAACCACTGAATTTAGTTTCGTCGTCGAAATTCGGCTATGGATATTCTTAAAAACCTACGTAATAAATTAATGCACTTCGAAATATTTAGCGTATACCGTAATAAAAGCAGTTCACGTACACTAGTCGTTTTTCATACCTTCCCTCAACAACAAATCTATATTATCTCTGCAATTAATTAATTGCTCCTTTTTCATAACTTAACACGCCATTTTGTTAACTGATTAATTTCAACGTTGTGTACTAGTTACTTAACTTGAAAATAAAAAATGCCAGTTTCACAACGACATTGTTTACTAGCAGTTCACACTCAAACTGTACCCACTCGATTGCGAATTTTTTTAAAACCCAATTTTGCTCTTGCACACATTAAAATTACCCATACGATATTTACGTTTTCACAGTCGCTACCCGCCTTCTCCCTTTCTTTGTGCTTCACTATTTATATGCCCGTGTGGATAAACTGAAACGGGCCCAACGCAAATTTTGTAACAGCGTCCCGTTTAAACCAATAGCGGGCCAGCATTTTTGTTTACTCTGCGTTTTTGTTTCTGCCAAAATGCAGTGAAGTTCGCTGCCACCTTGGTACCAACTCACGCGTTCTATAGATGCACACCATCCTGACTAGCTTACTATCCATACGAAGCGGTATATATGCAATTTTATCTAAATATAAAATTGGACAAAACAGTTTAAACTGTAAATCGGGGTCCCATTACAGAGCATATGCAATTGGTTGGTGGATTGACCGAGAGTTTTTTTGGCTTCGATTATTTTTTGTAACGGGACCCGCTAAGCCGGTAAAAACGTTTACCCAAAATCGTCCTGAAACTTTGATTTTCATGTCTACTTTCTGTCAGGAAATTTGAGTTTTCACGACAGAGGTAGAGCAGATTACGTTTCCTGCCGCTTGTCAATTTACTGGCCGCACCTGTCACTTTACCGGCCGCATTTTTGACATTGCTAAATGTCTATAATGACTCCTGTCATTACTGGCAGATTGACATTAAACAAAAGTTCTATATGAAAATTGAAATTTTATATTAAAATACGATTTCGGGTAAAATTTAATACAACACTAGTCAGGAAAATGACATTACTTGACTCGGAAATTAAAATACTCGGCCCCAAATCTTTCCTCGCCAGTAATGTGTCATTTTCCTGACTTTTATGTAAATATAACTCTCCCCAGGAAAGTCACACACAGCACACCTTGTGTCGATCAACAATCGATGTTTTTCTTAAGATACGAGCGACTTCCGGAATAGGGTCGTGCTAATATTGAATGAAAAGTCTTTCTGTTCAAGATTGACACGATCTATTCCGAAAGTCGCTCACATCTTTAGAAAAACATAGATTGTAGATCGCGATCAAGTGTTCTGTGACCGGCAATCTTTCCTGGCGAGAGGTTTAACTATTGTTTGTAACGCATATAGTAAATGTTGACAAGTTAGTCAAATATGACAATTTCATTAACAACCATTAATGCGTAGGCTTTGTCACATGGATAACATGATATTTTAGACATTTCTTCGAGATCAATTTAAGAACGCCTTCTCACGTAGGGATTCCTGGGAATGAAAGAGCTGACCAAGCCGCAAAAGAAGCTCTAAACATGGATTTGCCCACAGTACAAATTCAACTACACACCGACCTCCAAAACTCTCTGAAGCAGTCTATCACCAGCAAATGGCAACATATTTGGAGCCTCTCCAACGCCAAACTGGCCCAAATTCAAACACAAATAACCGCACATAATCTACCCTTAATGCCGAGAAAGGATACCATAATAATACACAGATTAAGGATTGGTCATACTGGTGTCACGCATCTTGGACAGTCTCGATCCACCACGGTGCGAATGCAACAACATTCTTACTGTAAACCACATTCTCTCAGAATGCCCAAAGTATGATGAAAATAGACTAAAATGGCGGATAGGGACAGACCTGAAAGAAGACCTTGCAACACCAGCAAATATTGCCAGAGTAATTAATTTTCTGAAAGACATCAAATTGTATAATTGTATATAGATACCGTCCTATACTTATTATGTTAGCCACACTTATCTTACTGTAACTGTGCCAATGGCCATAAGTAGTCGAGGCACAATAAATTAAAAAAAAAATTTAAGAACTAATTATTTATGTTTACTATTTTTTATAAATGCGTATCAAATAGAATATTGTACATCAGGTAATACTGTTTACTGGCTCTAGGAGATGACAGGTGAGCCGTTCTCCTATCGCCAGTAAAAACTAATTTACCTGGCTAATAATGTGAATTTCGAATTTTATAAATAGGTAAAGTTACATAAGTACCGCTTTATATGAGTAGTGTGCGCTAGTCATTGAATCGAGTAAAAACGTTGCTGTGAATAAGGTTGGCAATAGTGAGAGTAGGGCAAGTGCAAAGAAGAAACCACCCGCGGTTGATCCTGTATCAGGCGGTAAAAAGAGCAAATGCTTTCGCTGTGAATCAGACTATTCTCCCAACACGTGTATGTATAAAAAGTTTAAGTGCGGGTTTTGTGACAGGGAAGGACACATAGCAAGGGCTTGTTTCGCGAAGAAAAGGCAAAATGCTAGAAAAAGGGTTCACTACGTGGAAGAACTTTCGGACCCAGACGATACGTATGGCGACATTTACCGGTGATTATACCGGCTACACTTTCGAACCGAAAGGAAAGGATCATATTTTTGGGTTTTGAGATAAGTGCTGAGGGATTAGGTCCACGGAAGATAAAAGGTATTATTCACACGCACCTGCGCCTACTGACGGAATTACAAGTATATATTTATGGGGATTATATATGTTTGAAAGACAAGGGGAACAATTTGCACAAAAGCTTACCTTTCTAGTGGCGGGTAAAACAAAATAGGATAGCTCTGGTTATCAGCGTTAAAAAATTTAATTATTATGTTTACGGCGGATACGCACCGACCATAAACCACTACTGGACAGCCTGAGTCATAAGAAAAGCACACCGGAAGTGCTTTCGCCTAGAATGCTACAATGGACATTTTTTTCAAATGCGTACGACTACCAACTGCAGTATACACCGGGAAAAAAAGATCGGAAATGCAGATGCTCTAAGCCGTCCACCTCTGAAGCTCGGTGTACCTCAGGTGCCAGTTTCCGAGGATGCTGGCCGCTTGAGAGGAATCTTTCGGCAGGGAACTAAAAAGGACCTTGCTTTGCCGAAAGTTCTCCAATGGGCATGGAACGGTTCGCGAAATAATGACACATAGATGCATAAACTGTTGTGTTATGACATCCCGTGGGGGCGTTAAGCTTACAACCTGCAGTTTTGAACAATGAATGTGCACGTCATGTTAATTCTAAATCCAAAAGCTGTCCAAAATTGGACTGTGCAGAAGCCAGAAGGGCACAAAAAGTATGTTAATGCATTGTTTGACGTACTTACTTTATTGGTGTATGGAGTGTGAGAACGATAGAGCTACGGAGAAAAGTGAGATTCCGTACGCTTTTAGGAGTAGGGACGCGGAGTAGCCATCACTTTTAATGCGGATTTATATTTTATATTGCAATCATAGTGTATTTATTTATTTAATTTCTTGCTTAAAGGTAGTGGAAGTGGTAGTATATACAACTCTCTATTGTTAAACCCGAACACGTTTCAGATAGAATAGATGAATGCTTTGTGATTTCAATCCTCTAGAAATAAAGTATTAGATCGTAGGAACGACTTGGCTAACAAAATTCTAAAAACACTCGTGGGAAATTAAAACAAACGAATGTCTCATTGCATGCAATGCCAAATTAATTTGGTTAATGGTACCTACTTATTATTGTAATTCATACGGTTTTTCGTTTTTATTACCTTTACGCGCGACCTTTCTTTTACTAAATTATATATGTGACATGATAATCGATAGGAACTTGAACTTCTACAATTTTTTTGGTACGGTTACATGATGCAAGTTTCACAAACTTAGATTGACCTTAAATAGCTTTCGTCCTGTAAAGTAACTTGTTCATAAAGCTGTTAACTACAGAGAAAACATTATGGAACTCCATGAAAAAGTAATACCATTAGTGGTCTAGCATTTTTTGTGAGAATGTTGTAACGAAAGGTTGTTCTTTTTTTTAGCGCCTCACGACATTGGTTAACTCATATTGAAAACTAACGAAGGGTATACCGACATGCTTATAGTAAAAAAGGTGCCATGAAAATAAGAATAATACATACCTTAGTTTCTTTAGAAGGGCTCGATGGCTTCACAGTTTCATTCTTGATAACCGTCTTCGTTTGCCCAATATCTTTATTGGGTACGTTTCGCATCGGAGGGACACGGTTGGCGTTATTAAGCTGAAGTTTCGGCAAAGGATCTTCAAACTCCTCAATATTCACATCAGGAAATTCCTCATCTTCAATATTTTCGTTTCTACTATGCTCTCTCATCATCATTTCCAAATCTCTTCTCCTATACGTTCTATTTAAAATAGGCCGATTAAGATTATTATCCCTAATTACGTGCTCCTCATAATTCTCATCTCCGTTATTATTATTAGTATAAACGCTATGAACAATTTCTCGTTTGTTTACAAGGGGCTTTCCGTTTTTAATTTGCGTAACCTGTTTCTTAACGGTGGTAGTTTTTACCATCGTTTTCGAATTGTCGCTTACGCCATTATATCCGTTAGTTTTAATCACACGTAAAGGTTCTAAGGGATAACTACGATCTATGCCAGCCTTTTGTCGCCTCTCGTCGAACATCTGTCGGACTTTTCCTGCCGGAATACCGTTATTAGAAGTTGGACTTCCAGTGCTTTCTGCACTTCCTCTATTTACTCTCTCAATTGCGCGTTGTTGCTGATTTTCGTATAGACGAAGCAATTTTTCCTCTTTTTCTTGCATTTGCTTTTGTTGAAAACGAGCCTGAAATGACAAAGGGCAGTTAATTACTGATTCAATAATACTTATTGGGGTGTATAATCGACATATCGGTAAGACTACACGAAATAATGAAAAATTTAATGGTCTACACTAACAAACTTCTCATACAGAAATGAATAACCTTCGTAAAAGTAAGGGTGGTAATAATTAATGTTGTAGTAACGAATACGATTTTCCACCAAATGTCGCTGTGAATATTTTAGGACGACAAGCAAGCAAGTTTCCATCGGGCCCGATAATTACAAGAAATATCCGCTTGACCCTTTCATTTTTATATTTTGAATCATTGAAGGTGTTCTTGGCCGAGACCCAAATATAGGCAAATGCTGCATGATTTATTAAATGAATACCAAATGATTTCAGTAGGAGGTAAATCTTATGCCGATGCCGATGACTCAGCGAATAGGTACCAAATGTAAAAACAATCGATTTAATATACAAATACTGGGGTGCGTGCGTTTAATTGTTACACTGTTTGATGGTGCTACGAATAGCAAATCAATTCATTTAACTAGGTGAATGTTAGTAATAGGTCATGAATACGTTGCCTATTTTAACATTCTCTTGCGATCAATAAGGAAAGTCGGTGTGGTCCCCATTGGTACGCCCGCGCTTCGATCTCGATTTGAATATGACGGCAAAAATATTTGTAAAGAAATAACCCAATTAGGTCATTCACGTCATAACTAGAATCCTACACTGCCAATGCATAAAATAATAACGTCATGTATGTATCTTCTTATTTGACAAACTTGAAGTGTTCGTAGAATTACTTTTTACGCAATCCCTATTATTATTGTCAGTATAATTTAATAAACCGAACCGTGAAAATTTAGCACATAACACTATTAAACAAAGAATGTATTTTGTAAGGTCTAAAGGTGTTACATAAAGGGCGTCCTTAAGTGTTCTCGAGTCTAATATAATGACAGCTAATTTGCGGGATGGAACCTCCCGGTTACTTATGGAGGTAAATATTCCGGAGCAGTTTGCTTGGTGAACAACCATGTAAAAAAATTTACGGAAGTGGGTGTTCAGAAAGAAAATAATGACGGAACATTCTGTATATGAAAGTATTCCAAGTTACTAAGTGTAAATCTGGTGGATTATATACCTACGAAATAAGCACAGAGTTGGTTGGTTTTATTTGAATTTGTATCTTAGTATGGTTTTTCCTTTTAGAAATTGTGTAATTGCGTGATTATTGTTTAAATGATATTGCTTCTGTAAATTGTTTACTTAGATTTGTGTATTTAATTGTAAAATGTGAAAATGTGTGTTAAAATGTAAGACACATCTGGTCGTTTATGATAAGGAGTTTTATCAGGCGAAAATTAATTAACGCACATCTGGTACTGATAACGAATAGGCAAGTGTTTCGAAGAATTTCGGGTTTTTTCGATGTAAGCGGGGACGCACTCCTTCAAATCTGGCGTTATCAAGTCTAATTGTGATTGATGGTGCTTTGAAAATTTTGTGAAAGGAGATTATTTTATTTGATAGTGGAAGCGGTGTTTCGTTAAATACTGGAATCAACGTAAAAATGAGGCTGCTGCTGCGAGTTCTGCGACGGTTAAAGAGCGTGTAAATTTCTTTTACGCTTAATCTCGGTAATTTGCCCTATTTATTTTTTTGAAGACGCAGTTTGTCGGTTTCGAAATAAAGCATGCAGAAGTTAACCAATCTTAATAAAATATTGAAATTATCGTCAGGTGAAGTAATAGCGGGAGAAGCACAAGGGGTGGGAGGTCGAAAACTTGGATTCTTAACCACCAGATATTCTCCCATGACATGAAAAAAAATTGGAACTACTTCTCGTTTTGCAGGAAATGGTCCATTTTCAGTCTCTATTTCCCGGTCTACTAGGAAAACGTTATATACGTAAGTACAGAACCTCTATTGTTTTGCATGCTTGCTCTCTCCAAAGCTTTGCTTTTCTTCTTCTTGGTAAAATTTGAAATGTATAATTTGTCATTTTTTAAGAGTAGCGTTGCCGTTTTAGCGACCTTACGCTATCCCTTAAAGTATTCATCTGATTTTTATGAAATTTAAGATATGTTGAATTGAGATTTGAAGCTAAATAGGATTCCGAGTACAGAAAAGCCCTTTTGGAATCCTAATGCTCTCTCGTAAGGTATTCATTCGTCGGGGAAATCCCAGGGTACGACCTTTTACCATTAAACAAGGTCACCTGTAGGTATGTAAATAGGAATCCCCAAAATCCCTGACCACTACCTTGGTCCACAATCTAAGACCACCACCCTGTTCTATTAACAAAGACCACGCCCTTTCACCAAAATCCAACGCCACATGACCCTGTGACGTAACAGAATTCAAGATGGCAGAGGTTATTCAACTTCTACTAACACTACAATGTTTAAAAACAACTTAATAGATAGGTAAAAACAGAACAAAATGTGTACACCTACTATACATACATAGAAAAAAATAAATTCCAAATTTTCATGATTTAATCATTTTAATAACTTTTTGAAATCCTTCATTCATTTCATCAAAGTCATGACCGTATTGAATTTCAATGGCCACTATTGTCACAATTTCGCCGGAGCATCAAGAACAAGCCAAGTTGCAGTAAAGCCCAACTTTCCGACAGCTACTTTTTAATCATAACTCCTTTATTTTTTATGATAGAAAGTTCATTAAAAACAATTTTTTCTATTTCGGTGTCACAATGATGATTTTGTACAACTGTTTTCGGCCGAAAACAGTTGTACAAAGACAGTGATTATAGTCGTTTTTTTTTGGTAACTCATCTCTTAAGTTGGCAGTTACTAGTTAGTACAAGTAGTACTTCGTTGGGTACTTCCATGTTTGAACTTCAAAATGTCAGTCTTACTACGCTGCCAACCTAAAACTTAACGGCATAAAAAGTGTTCCCAACATAAAACATGTTAGTTCTAATGTTCCCTATAGTTTCTGATAATGATTTTTTTAATTAAATTAAAGCACCGAAATAGAAAAAATAGTATGGAAAACGCGTGTTACAATGCTTTATTGTAATACTCCTATTTTGCGGACACTCGTGGCTACGCTTCGCGTCGCCACTCGTGCCACAAGATAGTCGTATTACAATAGGTCGCATTGTAACACTTGTCTTTCAATATACTATTGTAGGTTTTTACAAGAACCACAAGGGTACATATTAAATCCCTTTAAAACTAAGAGTTTAAAAGACTCAAACAAGATAGTGCTCGCATATAAATACACGTTTTTAAACGTCTACGTCTCACTTAATTTTTGTCGTACAGATGATTTCCAATGGAATTAAAAAAGCTACAATTTGATACCGATCTCCACAGTTGTTTAGGAGTTATTTTGAAGAGGACATTTTTCACAAAATTGCAGAAATTCGTTTTTCATGTTGGATCCAATTATTTTAAAATTAAGTACTTATTCTAAACTTGTCAAATCCAGAATGTATATGAATAATTCACAAATAATGAAAATTGAAAAAGGGTAACGACTAATTTTTAATTAGGGTGGTAGTTTTCGCTGAAACAAATAGGGATCGATCTTATTTTCATCACAATTCGCTCAATTTTTATGCTAATAAGACTAAAAAAATGTTTTTGTTTAAAATTTATACACTTTAAAAAGGATTCTATACTTAAGTTTTTCTCGAAAAATGCATAGTTTTCCCGTTATTTGACTTTAAAACTCTCTAATTCACCGCTTGACGAACAAGGGCTATTTTTCCAATGAAAAACTGATACTTGCGGTCGCGAATAACTCGAAAACTATCTTTTATGTCTACGAAAATGTGTTATGTATCAAATTTGGTCCCAATCGGTTCGGCCGTTTAGTCGGAAACGAGAGTAAGAGTACCTACAGACAGCCAGACATCGACATAATCGAGATTTTGTTTGATTCGGATTCCTGGTGCTTCAAAACTTGTATTTCCGACATTTTTACCCCAATGCAAAAGTTGAGTGGTAGGTACACGGCACCAAAATAATCACGTCTGTGGGGTTCAAATGTTTCGCATGAGAGATACACTCCCAAATGTCCCAAAACTTGAGCATTGTTTATAATTGAATTTTATAAATAAAAATCGAAAAAAGGCTTTGCCTAGGTTTTCGGGCATGTCCACTGCGATTTTTAGCGTATTTTCCAACGAACTTGGGTGCAGTAACTTTCTCTGTCAGTCCATCTGTCTGTCCGTCTGTCCGAGGACTGCTACAGTTTTCAATATATATATAGTTTGTTCTTTTTGAATTCGGTAGCTAATAACTCGGGCACTTGAGCCAAGAAGAATGGATGATTAATGTGCGCATGGGTAGGATATGCAATATCAACTTTCTTATTTATTAAGATATTTTTTCAAAATTTTAACTAATGATGTTTCTAGTAAAGGCAAACATATCGCATCTAGGTAAAGCAGTTAGTTCCATCGATTCTGCGTTAAGGTTGCGAAGAAAAATTAAAGAAACGGAAATTTTAAAACTTTGTTTATAAAGCATATTGTTACTTGAAAAAAGTGTTATAGGTAGAGCACAGATGGCGATGCAAATGCATAAAATTTGCATTAAAAAAGTTGGAAGATCTTGACCGTTTAATTACCACAAGCAGCAGCAAATCAACAGCGAATGTACGACACTGTTGCTAGAGCACCATGGCAAGTACAATACCCGAATGGCCACCCTTTTCATTGCGTTAAACGTGGTTTGATTCTTTTCAAATTTTAATCTGTGCCTAGAAGGTACTATATTGTTAGTTCCTTTACAAGACACGCAACGACGATTAGCATGGCGTGTGTATAGGACGCTGACAAAGCTTTATGAACATCAAATTTAAGTACAATCCACTATGAGCTCTTTGGATTATTTGATTGTGGGATAATAATTTCTTTGATAATAAATTCTAAGCAAGTAAACGAATTCTTACTTCCGTTTGGTTGGACTTTAAAGCTTCTTGCAAGCTTTTGGCTGCCCAGGAAGAGTCTAAATCCAGGGAGACAACAT